ATTTGAACCACCATATGGGATTAGGTTTTAATGGATTCCTCAGTTGCCTTTGTTCAATCAGTCCATTGTAGCCCAGGTGATTCACAAACAATTTTTCCCAATAGTTGGGTTTCCTTTTCCCAAATGGGTAGTGGTCTGCGCTGGTCTCTTTGGGGGCCTATTTTGATGATGGCTTTATAATACTAGACTTGTCTACATGACTGGGGAAAATCTCTAATTGTTATTAGATGGTGTCTAGGATTTATGCAACTACTCCCAACTGATGTGATATGAAGCCCAACTGTTAGCACATGTCAATTGTTTGGCCTACAGTGCTTGAAACTAATTTGCATTTACAACTTGGTTAGAGCTGGTGAGATGTTAAAATTCTTTCAACTCCTTCTCGAGAGACACAAGCTTAAGGTCAGTGGTTTAGGCCCCATATGATTTGATACTAATTCATGAAAAATTATTGACTTGAACATCAAATACTCTCTCATTGACTTCAATGATGAAGCCAAATCTCTTGTAGTCTTTTAGAGCAATCCGTTGGAAAGGAATTTCACTCACACAATAGGGTAGAAGGGAGGGAGAGAATATGACAAACCCCATAACAAACTAAGAAGGGAATGTATTAAACAACAAAGGCCACCTTAGTCTTTGGGTCGCCAATACAAAATAACAAATCTCTAACTCTTAGAAGAGTTCCTTACCAATGTTTTTCATTCCCCTAAGAGTTGTTCCCTCAACTTATATCCCTTGCGGGTCTTCGACGTCCTTTTGACTTATCTTCTCTAGATCAATCTTTAATTTAGTCACTAGTCTGATCCATCTAATGATCAGATCTAATAGAACCTAGTACTTGATGTGATCCATCGGTGTTAGACCTATAATTGTACAAGTTCATTGTTGGATCCTTCCACTGCCCTCACCTCCCTACCTTGCAAGATCTGTTATATTTTTGTTTTTGAAGATGTCGAGTTCTTGTGTCTTGTCGCCTCACACTTTGCTTAGGCTGCTTGGTTGTATTATTGGGTTAGATTGGTTCTTTTGAGACCTCATTTTCCTTGGGTCAATTCTTGCCATTAAAATGTAAATAACATGCTAATGTGAGAAAGAGTCATCTAAGGTTATTCTTCAAACACAAAGCTTTGAGATCTTGATTTCAATTTGAGTGCTACATATGTGTAAGGAGGTGTAGAAGAGAAGCCATGATGAACCTTGCTTCCCCCTGATTTTTTGATTTGATTTTTGTGCCCTAATTTTTGGCAGAATGCCCCTTTTTATATCTAAGTTTAATGAGTTAGATTACTCCCTTTAACAACAATCTTTTTCTTGAGTTACTTTCCTCTTTAGGGCTTAATGACTCTTTTTGTTTTAGGTCATATTGGTGCTTGGGCCTCAATGGCTCTTTTCTCAATAAGTTTCATCCTCTTGGGTGTTAATGGACTGTGTTTGAATTGGCATGTCTTTAAACTTTAATGGCTTGTGCCTGAAAAATATATATTAAGTATGTAAATAAATTTTAAATTATTTATATAAAATTAAACTCTCAATGTTTTACCATTTTTTTAATCCATTGATTTTCTTTTTATTTCAGCTTCCCAATGAATACTTACAATTAGTTTCAGCAACCTGAACACAAAAAAGTTATTTTCATTTTATAAAGCTATGGTAAGATAATAATATCTGTAACTCAAACATACTAAATACTATACTCACGATAATTTAGAACAAATCAGAATTTAATAAGACAAGTTGTTGTACATGTATGAATCTTTTGACAACTTGATTTTTCTTCAAATTGGTATTTTTAATTTAATAATTTTATTTTAGGTGAATTTGATTAAATAACTTTTCACATGATCAAAAGATTTTGAGTTCTTATGCAATATATGTTATATGTTGATTATATAATAAATGAGTTTAAGACTTGTATGTCTTATTTGTTTTTATTTTAGTATTATTATGGGCTTCAAACTATGCAAAATGACTACAATATATTCTTGTTGCAAGAAAAGTGTCTTAGATATACTAAAATAATTTAACATACTAAATTATAACACATATTTTACTACAATCAAGACTAATGATAAATCATGTCTTGATGATATGACTACAAAAATAGATAAACTTTTTTTATAAAAGTATGATTAGTATTTTAATGCTTTTAAGTCACAATTGGCCTATTATAATGTTTATTATTGGCATAATTTTAAGATTTATGTATTTCTGTTACATTTGTTACTACATTCAAGGGACAATCAACTAATAAATTTCATTTAAGTAATTATTTAATTTAAATCATCTGATTTTACTATTAGCAATTGGGCAAGAGTTATAAATGAAAAGAAAAATATGAATATGTTAATTTTTAGTTGTGGTTCAAGTGTTGATCTTCAGTAAAAAAAAGTCCAATGTTAACATCATTTGAAGTTGAGGATATTATTGCATCAATAGTGTCACATCAAACGATGTATTAAATGCAAATAATTTTAAAAGATACCAACACTTACAAAAAATTAATGGAACAAACAATCAACTATATCTATGAAAAAAACCTAAAAATTCAAAAAAAGAGAAGTAAATAAGGATTTGTCATCATTTTATTGGAAATATGATTACTAAAGAATCACTTCAATTGAGAATTTGGTCAACAAATGATCAAGTTACAGAAAATTACATGGTGTTAAATTATCACCAATTTATCAACTTTCCAGAATCACTTAGTATGAGAAAATCTACATCAAGGAAGAGTGTTAATAATTAACTAATACAAAAGTATTAGAGGCCTGGAAAAGGTATGTGGAATATTAATGATATATCTTACGTGTGAGGCACATGTGTTGTTGAATTATAAAAGGCCCACTTAGTCCATTTTCTTTTAAGCTTTTATGTTTGTATATAGTGTATTAGGACAAATGATGTTTTTAGGGCTTTTCTAATTGCATCTTTTTATGGATGTGTCGCATCATCCTTAGCTCTCTCTTTGGCCTCTTCTCTCATTATCCATCATTGTCTTCTCTCCACATTTTATGAAGGAGATTCACCATATGATGAGATTAATGCATATTGACCACATAGTTAGCACCTGACACTGAAACCCCTAACAAAGTTGTAGTGGAGCAAGCTCTAAAGGCTTCCAAGAAGATGGCCGATTGACTTGAAGATGCTTTTATTTTTTAAAATAAACAAAAAATGGTATATTATTATTTATTACAATAATAGTCCATTCTTCTCAAATGAGATGGTTCCCCATTGTGGACTTCACTGGTTGTGGTTTCTTATACTATATGTCAACTTTTCCTATCATTTGTTATGAATATGATATCATCATTAACTGCCTATGTATAAATGGGTCAACGATGTGGACAAATTCTAACTGTCTCACTAATTTTACCCTTAAATAGCAAGATCCAAAATTACACATTTAGGACTTTAAAACTTCTAAATTTCACATATTCCTCATACTATATATGACTGTTTAAGGGATCCATATGGATAGCAACTAAGATTTACTTCAAAGTACCCACTTTTATTTTATTTTTACATTTGGTCAACATACCTGTTTCACATTTTGACCTTGGTGTTTTAAACTTAGACCAGCTTGTACAATCCAAGGTGTAGTGAAGCTGGGATTAAACCAAGGTTCATGTGTGGTAAGTTGTTAACTAATGTCTTATATGAAGATTATGGCTGACCAATTTTGGTTGACCGATAACTTATAAAGAAGGTACGAAATGTTCTTCTTTGATAAATTTGCCCCGAAGAAGAAACTTTTTTGTCGCTTACTTTTGTCAACTTTTGCTGGCAGAATACTCTACCTGATTTTCCTTTTTGACAGCTCCTTGTCGGACCGCCACCAATCCACCGGCCAAAATGCGGCTCCTTCCGTCGTCAGTCTCTCCGCCAGCGCTGACTGTAGGTCGCGTGCTGGACGTGGAGACCGATGCCGCAGAGAAGCCAGGAGGATGCAGATGAGAGAGAGCAGGATGCCACTGCCGCCAGATCCATGGCGGAGAGAGGGGATAGAAGGTAGAGCTGCACGAGACGGCAAAGAGAAGTTCCGCTGACCAGGAAGTGCAAGAGGAGATGAAGTTTATCGGTGGAGAAAGTTGGAAGGAGAGGGGTTTTTCCCCAGCAGAAATGGGTGCACAAATGAAGGGTTAGTTGGAGATGGCGAGAAGTTAGAAAGTTAGGTCACTGGGACATAGACATCAGAGAGAGAGACAGATAGAGGGAGAGAGAGGGAGAGAGAGATAGGAGGGAGAGAGAGAGGGGAAGGGAGAGAGAGAGAGAGAGAGAGAGCGAGAGAGAGGGAGAGAGAGAGAGAGAGGAAGGGAGAGAGAGAGAGAGAGAGAGGAAGGGAGAGAGAGAGAGAGAGAGAGAGAGAGAGGGAGGGAGAGAGAGAGAGAGAGAGAGAGAGAGAGAGAGAGAGAGAGAGAGAGAGAGAGAGAGAGGAAGGGAGAGAGAGAGGAGGGAGAGAGAGATAGCATCTGCCGACTGCTTCCCGGTGGCTTCGTGACCACCGCCTCACCTGTGCACCAACGTCGACCTCCTCAGTCTCCGCTACGATTTACGACGATGAGAAAAATAAGAAGAAGACTAGAGAATTTGGCTAGAGTCCTAGTCAGAGGTCCAAGTCAACAGCGAGAGGCAGTAACCAGAGAGAAAATCCATTAGAAAGAGATGCGGCTGATGCTTGATCTCCCTGGATGAGTTCATACTGACAATAACTCGCCACCCCAGCTGCGAGGGATTTCTTCCATGTTTAGCCTGGGCAGGAGAGCCCACATAGCTCGCCCATCACTGAGCACTGATCCTAGGAGAGAGAGAGAGAGAGAGAGAGAGAGAGAGAGAGAGAGAGAGAGAGAGAGAGAGAGAGAGAGAGCTTGTTGGGGTCAAGCTCCATGTTGAATCCATGGTGGGCACAGAGATGAAGGCCGCACAAGTCATCTCCACCGCCAGAGACAGAGGACACAGACATAATGAGTATAGTACAATGAGAACGGATGCTGCGGTCAACCTCCATAACGACTCCTCAGAGCTTCAGGCGGTTCCTCTTGCATGATGCCCGAACCAGTCGAAGACAAGTACTGACGGATAGACGTTTCTCGGTCGGCAATAAATGTGTGGTCTAAGAAATTGTCGTAGGCTTCTTGTCCAAGGTTTTTGGCTGCCAATACGCTGGATGAGCTTGCCAGTTAGTTTGCTTGCTTACTTTCATAGAGCATATAAGAAACCATATAACACGAATTCAACGATTTGAGATATACAAACGAATTTGCTTATTTTGAATCAGTTTCTTCCCAGGGTAGTTTTTCTCGTCCGGTTGCAAGGTGAAAACCCAGTCCCAGATAATATTTCTAAAAAAAGAAAAAGAAGTGAAGGAAAGAGACTATCTCCACCCCTCATTCATTGTGAAGTCCATGAAAGAGTCTGATGGATTTCTTCTTTTTTTCTTCTTTTTTTTTGTTCTTGGGGGGGAGAGGGGATAATATATTTTGTGTTATTTTTACCATATGGGTTGAAATATTTAATTAAAAAATCACACTTTAAAATTTTTGGTGATCAATACATGAAAAGTAATCCACAGGCTGTGTTTACACAACATTCATATAATTCGGAAGGCAAATACATTTCCAAAGAGGCGATTTATAACATCCTCATTCATCGTTTTCATAGAGATCAACAGGCTATCCGCTTTAATCCAGTGCTCCTACTTTGTATTAAATGAGTCAAATGCTTAACTAATCCATGACATAAATGATCGATTAGATACTATCTCAAATGCTGTCCACAATTAGCATCAATCAGTCGACCAGGAGGACCCATCCCCCATTTCATGACACCATGATCAATTATGTCCAAGTCAAACCTTTGCTGAGGCTATAATGTAACAAAAACAGGTTTAAATCCTTGTTTTCATGCAAGGATTTTGTATCTCCACACAGCAATTTTCACCCTCCTTCCTATTCAGAATAGCTCACGGTCGCAATGTCACAATACCTGGTGCTAACAGGGAGCTACACATTGACTTTGCATATCTCATTTGAACATGCATATTTATATTTCACAAGACTATAAATTTGTGGTAGGGAAGCTTATTTCTTCGTAATTGACAGAAAATATATGCAGGACGAGGAAATGTGTATGGTGATGCGAACCAGTGTCTAAGATAAACACGACAAGGTAGAATATCATCCCGCCATATCTTATGAATGTTGTGCCGCCCATATCGTTGAAAATATATCTCCTGACTTCCTGCGCAACAGGGAGAGGTTGGAAGCCAAGAACATTACATTCGATGGTGATGTATGACATCAACTAATAAGCAAGTTCGTGTGGATGGAACAGTCGATGGTGATGTATGACATCAACTAATAAGCAAGTTCGTGTGGATGGAACAGTGATAATTCAAGTGAAAAATATTAAAGACCAACGGGAAGTATTATTGCATAGGAAATGATCTGCCATAATATGGAAGTAATGATCATTCAGGAAAGATCAACTTGGTGGCGTTCTGAAGGCGAGTTAACCAAGCTGCAGAGGACAGAGTTTATTATCTTTTGAGCTGGCATTTGGGCAGTTTCATGTGAGAAGACTGAAGATACTCTTCAAACTTTTCACAAGATCTGTAAGATCTTGCGAGAAGAAGAGACGCCACTGAGGCACCACATTTGATCTTCAGTAGTTGATAGATTACCCACAAAAATAATTAAAAAATCTAGAAATTATTAATTTTCTGAATTGACTTCGAAATAAAAAGGGGAAAAATGAAATCTCTGGAGAAATTGTGGTGCTAGGGAAAGCGTGGAATCCACTGTGGAACGATTCCTCTAACAACTACTGATTGGGCGGGCATAAGGCGGGATAGAAATGGAAGGGATATATCCCAGAAACCTTGGAAAAGCATACATATCCTGTCATTGATGATATGAGTCCAAACGACTGAACATGCAATACATGTCATATCCGATTGTGAGCACTCAAACTCCATGTATCACCAAACCTGGATATTCAGTAGCCCTTCAACAGTCCTTCAAAGTTTCCCAATTTAACAATTTTCATAGATTTTGAGCTGTCACATAGATAGAAGCACAAGCGTTATTATTTTCTATAAGTCACGCAACAGTATCTTCTAAATTAAATGGATCCGCGAGCATAGTTCCAATCGACAAAGGGGAGGTTGATATATTGATATTCCCTCACTAGAAATAGAATAGAGAAACATGGAAATGTTGAGCATTCAGACGGATAAAGATGATTAATACCTTTGCATCTGACACGGAGATATTCATCGTCACTGTAACGAGCACAGAGCACCTGATTCAGTGGCTCAGATGAGGAGTGGGATCAAATTAATCAACTGACTGCTGGTTTTTCAGAAGGCAGGTGGCTGAAAGTGCACTTACAGCCGAGCGAACAAAAGGTGAGCCATTTGGTTCCTCGGGTACCACCTGTGAAACCAGCCATTGTTGGAGTGCAGGAAGAGTTTCAGTAGCATATGCATAAAAAAACAGCCAAGACAAGCGGGAAAATGCAATGGGTGTTCGCCGCTTACCGCTAGAAACCGGAATTCGTGTTCCCTTTCGATGAAGGATGGGATCTGCAAGTTCGATAGAACAAGGGATTATCCATGGAGCTAACTATGCGTGAGAACCCCGGGGGAGAACCCTGTCTACCTCTGTTTTGTAGATCTCAAACACGGTGACCACCAGGATTTCTCCCTCGCAGGGTTCTACACTCAAGCTGGATATCTCTCCGGTCTCCGCGTTCGCGATCCCTCGCTCGAAGAAGACTGGGGCCGTGTGAGCGAAGACGCGCCGGAAACCACGCAGCTGGGCCACCCGGAAGTTCCTCAGCTCCGGGAACGTGCTTCTGGCGCTTTTCTCTGTTTCCGGCGAGAGAATTCAAAATGTGAAGACCGATGCCGAGCCCAATCCATGGGCGAGAACGAAAACCCGAAAGAGTTCAGATGACTGATTGGAAGCGAAGAGAGCGGACTGGTCACCAGACAGGAGAGAACCGAAGCCGCAAATGGAAATGTAGCCGTCGAAGCTCAGGAGGGCATCGAAGTCGGACTCATCGCTCAACTCGGTGAGGCCACAGGGAGCCTCTGCGCCGCCACCTTCCGCCATAGAACACCCACGGCTCGCGGGCCCTCCTCTTCCCCGGCAGAACGACGGGCCACGTACGCCGATCGCAGCCGCGACCTTCGATGCCGCCGTCACTCCTCCAGCGTCCCTGGAAACGAACGGCGGGGAGTATTGATAGCTCGGTCTCCGACGACTTCCGCCGATGGCAGAGAGCCTGAGAGGATACGAAAGGCCCTCCATTTCGATCTCTCGTCCTCCGCCACGACCCCACCCTGAAGTCGCCACTCGTTTGTCCTCATCTGGGGAGCACACAGTCACAGTAAACAGAACAACGAACCAATATCGTCATGCTCAATTCCACATCTTGATGTTTCACGATGCTCACCGTAGCGGCGAACCCAAATCAATGGATTGAATGCTCTGTTTAGTCCCACATTGGAAATATCAAAAACTTGGCAACCGGGGAAGTCTACAAATAACGGCCGACTTCCATGTTCAATGGCTACCCGTCCTGTCGGGGGTGTTAGGCGACTCGTCAATGATCGTATAGAGACGGCGGGTCGTGCCGACGCCTACGAAAGCGAACACACCTTAATAACGGCGAGTGGCCTCTCCCTACTTACGGTGGGGTCGCCCGTCAATTTTTGGAAGCCCTCTCTTGTCTGAGGGGGCTCGTCAAAATCATCTTCCAAAAGCCTTACTACCTTCATTCATCCAATCGAACTCCTTATCGATGTCCCAAGTAAGTCAACCATTCAGTTTCTCTACCACTTTCTATAAATGGTAAAAAATAAGGTGCAGACGTCCAATTTCCCGTCAACCAGTAGACGGGCACATCAAGTTCATCTTCCAAGCCTTGACCCACCTTCATATCTCTACAATAATTAACAGCATGCTACTAATGATAGATAGAAAGAGAGTTTGTTTTTCTCTGAGACTTGCCCTTGTAAGGCGCTAATGGGCCTGCCGGTATGGAGATGGAGAGGGAGCGAAGGGGATATCATTCCCTCATAGGGATGTTATATAGTAATCCTCTCTATATCTCGGTAAAAAAATGAAAACTCATTAAACGTGAGATCCCATAATTTGAGGAAAACTGCCTTTATGGGCCGGCCCATTTCAAAACCTGGTGAAGAAATGTCTTCGTTGGAATCCCCATTCTTCATATAACAGAGCAAAATTCTACGTTAGGTAGAAGAAGATCACCCCCCCCCCCCTCGGGGCTTCTGGTGTTAGTCTTCTGCCTTGGAGTCCTTGCCTTTTGGGATCTTGAGGGCACCCGACTCCACCAATCCCTGCAGCTCGCTCTTCGCCAAGTCTCTCACCTTGGCGTCTGGCGACTCCAAGAAGGCTGAAACCACCTTCGCACTGTAGAGGAAGATGAAACCCATGAGTGTGTGTTACAGGAATCGGGCCAGTTTTGTAATCACCAGAGGTTTATTTCCATAATAATCAATGCGAGGCTGTTTTTGGGTCAAATGGGGTGGCGAGGTGTTGACTCGAACCTGTGGCCTTGGGCCCATGTGGCCGCCTTTCCCTTCAGAGCCACCTCCCACAGAGAAGCGGCGAAGGCAGGGCAGTCCATGATCAGCTTCCTTATGGTCCTGCTGGAGTGGAAGTTCTCGAAGACATGGTGCTCGGGTTCCTCCATCTTTGGGAGAGCCCCGAGAGATGCTATGGCTCCTTGGAGATCATCCAATTGGTTGGGAAATTTTTGGCGAAGAACTCCGTCAATACCACCAGTAACCACCTGCACAAGAAGCTCAGGGGATGAGGAATCTAATAAAGTTCTAATGGTATCTAAAAAATAAATAAATAAATTATTATACTTGATTACTTCAAGTCTATAACTTCAAACCTTACAGGGGTCTGAGAGTAAAGAATTTTTGTTTTACTCTCTCAGTCTGTAAACGAAAATGTTCTATTTTATTTATTTTTATTGAGTTTTCATTTTATTTTTTTCATCCCAAAATTAACAAATGTCTACTTGTGTGAGAGAAGAGTCTCGAATTTTCTAATTTTCCAAGTTTCATCCAGAAAAAATAAATCTACGGATTAGTTTCTTCATCCATAGCTTCAGACGTTACAAGGGTGTCACCACCCATCACACCTTAGTGAACATAAGATGCATGTGTGCAGGTGAGAGGTGGTGCTAAAAAATCATGAGAAGATGAGTCTGTAAAGAATTAATCTAAATATTTTCATGTTACTGATTTCTAGTGGAGGAGGACTACCAGCAAAGAATGCGAAAAATAGCTTCGATGGAGAAAAAAAAAGGTAACCCCCTTCCAGTATGTGGCTTAATGCACGTCAATTTTATAGGATTTGTGAGGCACTTTCACATTTGGCCGCCCTAGTGAACGACTGAAAATTCAATCTCACAGATTATTCAAAATTCTGCTTCTATGTGTAAGAGTGAGTGAGAGAGAGAGTGAGAGTGAGAGTGAGAGTGAGAGTGAGAGAGAGAGAGAGCATGAAATCCCCTCAGATATTTGCTCAAAGCTTGTAATGGAAAGAGGATCACACGCAGGGTTAGGTTAGTGGAAGCATAATCATAATGCTTAAACCTTAAATTCGGTATCCCTAGGTCGGTTTATTTACTCGTCAAATTCAAGTTCCTTTAACTTGTTGGAGTCAACTCAACAACCCTGGGTAATGGGCAGAGGTCCTTATTTTGGAAAGACCACGATTTGGGACATCAGCCCAGACGAATACTATCAATTAATTTCAAGGGAGGAGAAAACTGGGAGGAGGCTAGTGCCTTAGATCCAGAATGATCATCTGACAGGAAGAGTGAGACTCTGGGAGATAGAAGAGGCAAGAACACACAGACGACACGTGGCATCTCGGCTCTGGCATGAAGGATAGTATCATCATTGTTAACAATCAATGTGGGATGGAGGGATGAGTATCTGCTCTAGTGTCCAGTGCTTTCAGTCTTTAATGAGATGAGTTCAGGCACAATGATAGATGAAAAATAGTATCATCATTGGAACTTGCTGTTTCAAGGAGACTTTTAACGCCGGGATATACCCATTAGATCATTAAACGTTGATGTAGACATTTCAGATAAAAAACAATGATAGGAATAATACAGTAAAAAAAAAACTAAATAGAAGATATGCAGAGATACTTCATTGGAGAAGAATGAATTATTTTTGAAGAATATAAATCCAATTATACCTCCTATATCATATTCAAGAAGGGGGGGTCTTACCTCATAGATGACCTCTCTGCCAAAATTTGACCGAAGTAGCTCGCCAGCACACTCGGTGCATGTTACAATGAGGCTCTGAAAAAAAAAATAAAAAAATCATAATCAATTGCACTATCACACTCTCTCTTAGTTCGTGTTCATCTAGAGTTACTTTTTGATATAGTTCTCCGGATCAGGAGTGAGATTGACTACTGATGAACATTAACCACCTCAGCGGAAGGAATTATCAAAGAAAAAACTGGGTTACAACGACTTAATCACATAATATCATTCAGAACTATGGTATTATTGAATACCTCAGCAAGACCACTGTCAACAAGGAGCTGATATCTTCGCAGGGCATCATCCTTTTTCCCACCACCCTCAGCTAGCTGCAGGTTATTTTCAGAATCATCCTCAGGATTCTCTGGCGTCTCAGCATGCTCACCTGAACCTGTATCCACTTCTTCTGATTCTTTACCCTGGAAAGGAGAAAGTAATTATTTGGAACGTCACCCACAGACCCCCCCAGTAAGTTCATAAAGCAAAGTTCGAGAATTGCCTTTGAACACAGAGAAGGTACAGATAAACTCAAAGACGCCAGATCATCTGGACTCAGATAACGTGGGCACTGTGGATGGAGTAATTGCAATATTGGCCGTCTGCCAGTCTATCAAATCAACCAAACACAAGTTTACCGTCATTGATGGAATTCAATAAGAAAGTTTGATAAGTCAAATGCAATAAAGCTTCAGGCATTCCCTGAAAGGAATGTACCTTATCAAAAATAAGTTCTTTTAGTATTTTCTGCAGCTCACGTATGATGACCTGATATCAGAGATGCTAAATTATTATTAATTTCTTTTCAAAGAAAGATAATTGACCTAGAAGGTTAAATCATCATGAGAAAAGCCAAAACCGACGAGCATGACTAACCTTCGTTAGAAGCTTTGTATCATCAACTACAGAAAGAATGCAAGTAAGGACCTGAAAACAAAATAAACCAAAATAAGATGCCAGACAAAAAAGCACACAAGACAGTATGGACTGCATAGCTGAGACAAGTAAATCATAAAAAGCTTTTACCCAAAAGAATAAACTAATCGACAATAGTGAATGATGAACAGTTCCTATCTTAATGAAACTGAAATCTTGGCATAAATGGTATCCATTTACGTGATTTCTTCTGTTATACTATACTGATATTGGCAATGCCGGCCTTTCCTACTTTTCTCCATGTTAGCTGGCCATTTAACATTCCCTGAGCCCAAAAACAGGGCCAACCTTCCAGTGGTACAGATGCTATCAATTTTGAAATCAATGCCAGTGAATTCAGGAGAAAAAGATACATCTGAAACTTTTCAATGTCACAGTCATCTTTAGAAGGCATAAAGGTGAGTCAATGAAAGCTCTTCGCCTTTACATCACATGCATTAAAACATGGTTAGAGCCATTTAGATACAGAACATTAAGATAACCATATGGCAGCGCACTGAACCATTCACTATTGAAAGTGCAAACAAAGGAAAGTGCTGTCCTGAAACTGGACTTTAATAATACTTTTATAAATGATCAGATGTAGTTTTATTAGGAATCTATACATAATGGTTTTTAAATAAAACTCAAATGGATTGGATAATCACGTGCATCTCGACGATATATAGTCATCATCAAGTGAGAAAATGTGGCCTCTTTCAAGAGCCCTAGGAGTTTAAGGCTAGATAAATATCACCAATTGGTCATTTCATTATGGACCCAACTCTTAAGGGCACTGGAAAGCATAAACCCTCTCATCACGAAGATGGCCTCCCCATGTCTGCAGTGCCAATTGCTATTTTCTATCATCTACGTTCTGACCTCCAGAAGTTGGTATGGAATTGAAGCTATTCGAATTTCCTTTTTCTGGTAATCAGAAAATTTAATGAAGAGAAAAAAAAATACCTGTCTAGATCTGGGGCAGAATTGGCAGCAGGAAAACAGAAGTGGATTTGGTAACAACTGATATGAACGATAAAGTCTTCCCAAGTAAATGGCTATGGATACAAGGTAGATATGCTGGGTCTATATTGCGGGGAAAATAACGTAAATGGAGCATTCTTACACGAAGTTATACATGCATCAGGCCAGTGGATTTCCAAAAGGCTTTGGCAACATAAAGATAAATAAATAATAAATTGATTAGAATTAGGAAGTATATCAGGAGTGCAGAACACACCAAATTATGTCACAATCAAACGGTCAGTATTGGTCATTCTTTTTAGATAAAATCTTACAAGACAGCTCGAGGAATTCACCATTCTGCAAAATATGCTGTCTCAATTCTCTCTTCACAAGACAACGGTGGACAAATCATCACGAAATGGAAAGTGAGAGGGAAACTCTGTCAGATATTTTGTGTGAGCCTCTAATCATTAGGTTTTGGTGACAGCAGTTTGTTAGAGTCTGATTATTCACCATTCACAATTGAGACACTCCTGACGAAGATGACCAATAAAATAGTATTCCTTATGTTGAGCTCATAAAACTTAAAAGGAGATGCGAGGTATATTGCTAAACCTTAGCCAGGATAATCGGAAAACTGTAAAACGCAAATGTCACTTGTACAGCATGTTTAAGCATTAAGATTCTATCGGCCTTGTTTCAACAATATACAGCCTTGTGCTTCCGTGAGTGAAAGGAGGAAAGTTTGTAACAAAAATGGTCAAGTTTGCAGCATCAGAGATGTTGTCTCCTAGAAGCCATCAACAAAACCGTCAGGCCAGTGGAAATCTGATTTCAAACGGCATAAGATGGGCTGTGCGGCACCCTATCTTTCGACATCATATCAGAAGATGGTGCCAGTTTCCAACATAGCAGATCAGGGATCAGTCGAATTGATGGGATGAAGGCCTACAAAAAAATAAAATCAGAATGACATACAAGCTGGAGTACAATTCCCATCAGGTTATTTTTTGCGAATTTTTGGTTCTCCGTAACACAATTCGCCCCCTTTTCCAAGGGATGGTGGAAGTTTTCCTGTGGAAAATCGTGTTCCTCTCCACATGACATCCCCTCTATATAAGTAATGGATTGCAACTTTTGCCCAATCCCAAGAAAGTAGGATCTCACTGAGAAGTTGAGTCAGGAACACAACTAAAATCAGGTCAAATTGATGAAGTGTTCTTCACATACCAGAAAAATGATAACATTGGATCTTAGTCATAATACGATCAATGTAGGCTAACTAGACTGATCCTACACCATGATTTCGTATCGGACTGAATAAAGGAGAATTCTCAGTTACAAACAGTTACGAACGTATAAGTGCAACCGACATGTCTGCTCCTAATAAGCATCCCAGACATGGCTTCAAATGTGAATTATCCGCACGGGTATTTTTTCCAAGGACATGTCAGTAGGATGCTATGCATTCGATGTCCATATGTTCTTATAAAGAACCCAACCACAGCATTATCAGACGTCAGATATTCCAACTGAATATACACTTCAAATCTACTTATGTTAAGCAGAACTTAGGAAGTGGTTATAACAAGATTCTCTAACTACTTATCCTTAAAAAAATAAAGCACGGGAGCAATAGTGACGATAACAGAGAAACAATTAAAAATATTAAAGATAGATTGAAAGCAGTGATTTTTCAAGGAAAGCTTGTTTAGCTTCACATGCTTCCTGATAACACCAGACACATGAACAACTGAAGTAGAGTAGTGTTGATTGTTATATCTTGACTAAATGCCCAGACACCAAGTTTTTACGTGCAATTCAAGACCACATATAAAATAATATTAAAACTCAGGCCCGAGTCTCAAACATGCAGAACAACTAAAGATGTATGTACATCAATTAGTGAATGGTGGTACAACTGACAACAGGATAGATATCAATCTGCCAATAGGGTTAACATGGAAACACGTTACTCAGCTTGTATGTCAATTCAAAAACAACCCAAAATCAATTAAACGGGAAATTTTCACTAGCAAAAGGTGACCCTTATCAGAGCTTTAGAACTCGTAAAAGGGTTGTACTTGGGTCGTGCAGAACAATCCCAAACAATTTATGAAGCAGGCGCACTTACTAAGCTGCCATATTGGTCCTGAGCTACTTTCCCAACATGTTCTTTAATGCCCTTGATAATCTTCTTTCGTTCCTGAAAATGAATTGAGCTTTTAGTTACTTGGATCTCAACTTCAGCAATAACGATCTCTGAGAGGAGAGAAAATCCAAGGCAAAATGTCACTGTCAATATTGCAGGGTATATGTCAAATGACTAGCAAAACGAATGACCATAATGATGCTACCTATGGCAATGCACTCATTGGTCTACATACAGAGCATTTTTCAAATAAGGGTAATATCATGCTTCAAACTGGTTTCTTGATGTAATTAAATGTGACCATTGCCTTTGGATTCATAAAGAGTTAAGGCCTCATCATCAACAAGTTTCATTTATATTGTTGTCTTAACTGCAATACTTCAAACTTCAGACGACAAGGAAACGTATAATTCATTTAACAGCATGTAATGCGAGCAAATGACAACCTCATATTGGATAATATACCAGATCCTGAAACAAGAAACTGTCATCTGCATGTTCCTGTGTAAGAACATTAAAATCAGATTTCCCCAACTCATTACTTGCACAAGCTTGCTTCATTCATCTTATTCATCGGTATGCAGATACAGTCGCCGAAAGACCAGCTCTTTTGTCATTTACATATCTATTTGTAGGCAGCACAAGAAAACGTATTCTAATTGTCTAAACTGTTGGTGCTGAAGAAACAAGTCTTCAGAAGAATTATTGAAAAGTCAAGGCCTTTCCATATGGATCCAAAGTCTCAACGGTAAGGACCTGCGCTTGCCTGATTCTAGAATACAGCTGATTTCTGAAATGATAGCATGTTTTAATATGAGCACATAGCTTCCGTGTTTTCTTATCTATATGTTGCCCCTCATAGCATAAGACTGTGTTATTCGTGTCTGATAATCACACAACATTTCATTCAATGACTTGGTGAACATTTTCTAAGACCGGGTAAATCGCACTAGCTGGGATTTAGCATCGTTCCAAAGGTCATTCCTCCATTCAACATAAGCCCGTGCCAGTCAGATCCCAGTAATAATTAAGAACTGAGATCAAGTTTGTACCTCTGGCAGCTAGCTTATCAATCCATGAAACAAATGCATGGGAATAAAATATGCGTTTGTGTAGAGAATATGATTATGATCAAGGAAAGAATGACGAAATATGAGCATTTTCATCTCAAAGGAAATCCAGACAGCGTAGCCACTGGCATCAGGTAATTAATCATTCATATGACCAACAATAAAAAAAATTATCTTATCCTGTTAGCCATCCACAATAAAGCCTTAAATTTCACCGTTCAAAGAAACATGAATGTCTTCACCTCAAAGGAAATCCAGATAGAGTATCTCCACTCATGCCACGAGATCAGCCATTGATATGACTGATCATAGCAAAATTATGTTATCCTGTTTAGTCTCATTTTTTACCTAACATATTTTATGAAAATTCAAAAGAATCAAAAGTTAAAGGTATAAACACGTTGTTAATATCTTTGAATGAACCAAACTACAGCAGAAAGAAACTTAAGCATGGATATTCTTCTGTAGAGATATTGAAGAAAAACTGTTGAATTATATTCTAAGCGATAATTTAAATATTTCTATACTCTAAATACCTGATTTGAATGAATCATTTAAGAATTTTGGATTTTGTTCTAAAGGCCCCTTACCATCAATTAAGTCGTTTTGTGTGCTCATATTAAAACATGTTAGAATGCATCATTTCTGGGGAAGCTGGTTTTATCACTCATAAGAAAAATCAACTGGCAAGTATCCGCCAAGGTAAAACAGAGGCTTTCTCAAGTCAGCGTTACCTACCTTAGCATCCCCATGCTTAACGCACAATATTCCGAGCTTTGAACCATCTTTTGTATGAATCATTCGAACAAGCAGTGAGCTTGACAACTGTCGGATGACATCTACTGCAGATGACTTTTGGAGAACATGAATCAGACAAAACAGCGAGCTGTTGGCAAATGATGAATACAGTCAAACCTGTGAAGCATCAATTACCTTGTCGGCAATGGTGAGGTACTCAATCAATACAGTGTGTATTATTGAATGGTCAACGATTCCTTTCTCCAAAATTGGCTGAATTACAGAACTCATGTGTTGTAATACCGACGATTTTTGCAGGCCAAGTTTAGAAATTATATCAAGTAACCTGTTTAAACAAACATGAAAATCTATTTTTAGGTCTCCAATTTATCATCATCAAAATTTATAAAAATAAAACAACAATAAGGACTCCTCAAAATCCAAACAAGACAAAAAACCGTACACAGAAAATCATGAGGAAAACTTAAAATTTCAACAGAAGGAAATACCGTAATTTTCAATAACCAAAGACAACAAAAATAATCAAATATGTCACATCACACCAGTGGCAGCTCAATCATAACCGTTACAAAGAGATCAAACAAACCAAACCGGAATAATTGAGCCTAGAAACCAAAATTATTGCAATATTTGTGTTAAGCCCCGTCCTAGTGCTCAAATCAGGCCAGTTACTGGGCCTAAGCAAGGACCCACGGACCCAACCCGTTTTGGGCTTACTTACCACCGTAAGAGGACGAAGGAGGTAAGGAAGGACTAAGGGGAAATGGGCCTGAAGCCCATTTCAGGAGTTAGGATACATGAACCTGTAAGGGCTCACGGTAAGGCACCTTTGAGAGGAAGTCGGTGGGAGAGTGGGACGCTCTTGAATTCGTCCCGAACTGTTTTAGGGTTTCTGAAGGAAACCCTCTTCCCTTCTCTGTTCTTATCCCTTGTTTATCTCAGTGGGCTTATTTCGTTCATCTCTATTATCTCGACTGTGCTATCTAGTTGCTGTCCCTGGTAGGACCCTGTTGGGGAACCTATCAATTTGCTTCAGAATACGTTAACTCTGTAGCAGCAGCCAGACGAATGGTAGATACCAAGTGACGTATTTTGCATAGTGTTTCTTTACAGGACTTCGTCATGATAAAAATATATCAAAACCTGGGGATGACAAATCTTTTTAAGCCCAAAATCATTTTCAAGTATTTGGTATATTTCCATGAAGAAACAATTAAAAAGTTCATGTTCTGCATACAGAGGCTTCAGAACATGATGCTTAAAGCCATACCGTGATTATTCCATAAGAAACCAATACAGATGGCAGAAGCACAGGGGAACATGCTATAATAGATGGTCCCTGATTAAATGTCAATTGCTGTGAACGCTCAAGTACAGGATTATGAGTTCACCTCAAATGTCTGCACAAGGAAGATTTCTCAGAGTATTTCCAATAACTGCTGACTTGGATCCTGGTGGCTTTGCATGCAAATATATTGCATTTTGAAAACTAAAATGTAAATTTAGATCTCACTTGATTTCAAGAAAGATGAAGATATGGCAAAAATATCTTTACCTCGTTCATTGTTGGAATCGGGCATCACTCTGGTTATGCCTCCTAAAATCGATCCAGATGATGATTTTTCAATGAGGAAGAATTAAACCCCCACACCCACCCACTCCGAAAAATGAAGGCTTCCCTTTTTCTACGCGGGAAGAAGTTCAGTCTTATGCTTCTTTTATCCTTTCCCGGGACCAAGTGGGCAGTCCACCACAGGGAATTCATTTATGCCAACTGGATATCAGAAAGGTTGAAATAGCCAACTAGATTCCGATGCAATTTAAACCAGGCTCTACAGCTAAGTTATAAGAGATGGGAGAACCTTGGGGAGTTGAGAAGGAATTTAGAAATATACATCCATATATGTTTTCAGAAAAAAAAAATGTAAACAGAAACCCAAATTGTCAATGGAACCATTCTGATTATAAAAATGATGCTCTAACCCGTCAATGTTTGTGTGAACTAATCAAGGCAATGGTCTGTCTCCTTTCTGCCGAGGTGACGCGTTTTTAAATGCATTTAAGAATTATCTAAAGATTAATTATTATGAACATGTGATTAATAAGATGAAGAATATGCACACAATACTAAAATCACACAATCTCGAGAAATAAAAAAAAAAACCATTACTAAGGTAAATACTCAAATAAACCAAATTGAATTTCTGACAGATTTGGTCGTGATGTTTGCAAGATTTGAATTTCTGACAGAGGGACGACTCGTGCCTCTTCACAACACCCCACTGCCTTTGAACACTGAACGTTTTTAGGCATTTAACTCACTATTTAAATTCATAAGTGCATCACCCAATACTCATGCTCATTCTTCTCCTTCATAAGAGGTGTCGCTAATGTTGCGGAAAGCTTTGCGTTTGACAAAGACATTCACATCTCACCATTCAGACATTCGAAAATGCGTTAGCACATTCAAGACTACCCTTGCCTACGCAGCCTGAATGGCTGAGGAGTTCATTCTACTACTTGGCAACACCATAAATCTATGATATGAGCCAACCAGAAAAGGCAAGACATTAGGAACTGTCTTTAGGACGAGATATGATGGGGAAACCAGCTGAAGTGAGAACGAGAGGAGCAATAACATAGGTTTTCCTCATACGTCCACAAAAAAATCCATTTGACATGGTGTGAGTTTATTGATGGCCCAACAAGTTGGTCCATTAGCAGTCTCATCAAGCAAGTTTGTTCGATGTATCAATCCACAAAATAATGTGTTTATTACTTGATCTTAAGGATGTTGAGGCCTTAGAAAGATCTATACCATCGTGACTGACTGTGAACACACAAGGAGAGCTGACTGTTTATGTAATTGCATATTCCTCTCTTTCCATGTCTTTATACAGTAGAGGAGGGAATTTTATGATTAAAAAAAAGCCATTCCCCATACCCCACAAAGCCTAGCGCTGATCATGCTAATGGTATAAAAGTTTTCAGAAACAATAAAATGCCGGTATATCTATATTATATGAACAATGATATCATTGAGATAAAACCTCTAGTCAATATATATGATAAAATTTAGGATGGATGAATTTTTGGATTGAATCTCCCCCAAGGGGGGAAAAACAAGAAAATAAAAAACAACATAGTGAGCATATCTGAGGACAGGGAAGCTAGCTACCCTCATATGACAAAACAAGAACTCATGCTGGATGGACCAGCGCAGAAGCAGACAAACAAATTCAGGGATAAAATTCTAGCAGTTCCACAAACACCATCACAACTTCACAAACATCAAACAATTAGAAGACGTGTGAGCGCAGACTAAAATAAGAAAGCATTTTAAGGTTACAAATAATGGCTATCTCACCTGCCTCCATTGGACAAGGTCAAATCCCTAAATAACTGAAGCTCAGCCGAATACAACTCTGACAAAAGACTCTGCTTTTGAGATGCGTTTCCCAATTGAAAAACGTGTTCAATAACTGAAGGAATAAAATAGGCATTTAGAATGTGATCCAAAACAACACATGTAATTATGCTACTACTGTTTCTACTCATCCTCTACCTATATTCTTCAATCTACACTGATAGTTCAACGACAAAAAATCATGATACATATCAATTCAGGTTCGAATAGTTACATAAAATGAAGATATTGCTATATGTGATTGCTTTGGCAACTTGTTTTCTTGGTTAGACTTTGTCATCCAGCAGGATGCAGAAATACTGATGCTAGCAACAAAATAAAATTGAGGATGGATTGACGTGGGAGGCAGTAGATGTCGTACTGTATTGCCATTAACTTCCTTTTGATACACACCTTTCCGTTTTTGACTGATTAGCCATGACTGAATGAGTAGAAGATAATTGAGGAACTAAAAATCGATGCAGGGTTTCTTGTCAAAGGTTTGGTAACTACTAATAAACCTTACTCAATCATCTTCCTTGATTACTATAATTCAGATTTCAATTTTGTGGTCTTATTTTATCTTATGCCCCCCTCGTCTACCTTGATAATTCTTTCAGGAGAAAACACATTCTTCATGCATTTTTCTTCTTATGAGAGGCATTTCGTGTCAACCAACTTTCTAACAACTTTGCCTGCTAGATAAATCACATAAGTTGGAAATGATAGATTCTATATGAGGATGACAGAACACTGGGCACCTCCAATGTTGTATCTGGCACCAAATCGGCAATTTAAGTGAAAATAAGGAGCATAACTTTTAAGATGGTCCATCCATGATAATCGTACACCAAATTTTAACAAGAAAACTAATTCGTGACAAACAAACTACGCAGAGAAGAAGACACAAGAAACCTGCACCCATACTATGCAGACATCAAAACTTGGTTCTGAAGATTAGGTCAAGTTGCTGGGTTGGGGTAAGAATAATGAACAGGATCTTTGCACAAATACTATGACATTAATATGTCCATAATATATCCTTAACGTGAATTACAGTTATTATGATAAAAATCCATACGAAACTTTACAACTTTTAAAGTACTCTTCATTTCCCTCTATAGCTGCAACCAAACAACGGTAAGACTTGGAAGAGAGATGCTCAACAGGCAATGCAGCAGCAACCCCAAAGTGAGGAATAGAAGGAAGAGAGACCGACAACAATAAGTCCATGCACTTGTGAAGCTTGTTCGTGATGATTCCACATCATCAATTTGAGGGCAGTATAACTTTTTGTTCATATGAAAGCCTATGTGAGTTATTCCTTAAAGAAACTAATAGCTTGTCGACCTCCCACTCGGGAAATCGTCCATTCATCTTTCATTTAATGGGGAAAAGGGAAAACAGCAGATATTTTTTCGGTCATTTTCAGGAAGGAAACGACTTTTTTACACAATTTTCACATACCGACAGATCCAACCATGTGCCGAAGGAGAGAAGCGACCTTCCCATGAAGAGAGGAGATGAAGCCATCCAGTTGTTTCTTCGTGGCTGTGAAGAATGAATACGTCAAAATTCACAAAATTATGGGTAAATAGACATTCTTTTTCGAAGCAAAAGCATACCACTGTCCAGCATTTTCTTCACAAGATGAACTCCATAAACATTACGGGAGAGAGCAAGAAGATGTGGTTGAAGCTCTAGAAAAACAGCTTCCCTTTCTGCTTGAGAACAGTATTTGATGCATGTCTGTCAAAGGCATAGAGCCACATTATAAGAAAATATATCATCATGAAAAGATCCACAGTGATTGACACAGAGTTGAATTTTTTTCGCTCGTGATTATCAGCTGGGCATGAAATTGAAGGAAATTATTTTACAAAATAAAATATATCAAAGTAGAATATTCACATAGAGAATGCAAACTTAAGCAACGATTCACAACTACCTCGCACTCATGCTGAACTACAACAGTATCCCAGACTCTGGTATTGTTTTTTCAGAAAGGATAAAAAAGGCACCTAGTCTGATATTTGGCATCGAGTCTCCCTTAAAGTACAAAATCTTATGAAAGCGAAAGGAGGAAAGGGGAAGGCAATGACTCTGGACAGGCAGAGATTACTTGAAGAACACGTGATGAAACATGAGAGCTAGCAATTTCAGCAATCTTCCCAGCCATCTTCCGCAAAGCTTCACTTACTACCCTGAAGAGATGCTGAAGTGTCAGAATACAAGGAAAAAATCCCAAATATACATATATAAGGGGAAGACACATACTTGGATCTGTCATCCTTGGCGATATTACGACGCCTCATTTTTTCCCATAGTAAAGCAAGCTCCTAACATTAAAGGGTTAGTATTCCATTACATTTTGAACGATAACACAGCATTTTTTTACAAAGCAAGGGATGCATTACGATAAAACAAGAAACAATAAGAATGTCGGGAGGAGCAATAAATGGCATTTTTTCTGTTATCAAATGATGTGTACAGAACATGACAGAGCAGGACATGGACTCTGCCATTGTGAAAATAACAATTTTCAGCTCCAATAGAATTTGCATCACCATACACAATTGTGCTGCGCGGAAAGATAAAAGCCGGTAGCCCGTAATAAAAGTAACAATAAGTTTGTTCACTTTGAAATCAAAAGTTAGAAAATTATATTGCATGTTTCAAGGGTGGAAATTTCCTCTACTATCAAAATTCTTAGCCAACATCACGTCTAACTATTTCCTGCCAGCATGTTGCACGGTAATCGGCCTTACTTGTTGAAGAGTATAATGCAGCTTTCTCTTCTTCTTCCTCGCCTCTGCCAATTCCTTCAAAAGGAAAAAAAAGAGCATTAGGGTCTCTTTACACATGCTTGCAAGTGTCGAATCACATAAGCAATCGGAGGCCCGCCTAGACTGTACGCTGTGCAGACGGACTCCTCGTTTCAAAATTAGTACAAAAAATAAGGTCTTTGAGGTCCCCACCTCAACTTCTACGCAATGAAATGGGAAAAAAAAAGAGCAGACAGAGTTAAAAACCTTAGCGACTAAGCGACTGTCTCTCTTGGAGAGGACCTCGGCCTTATCCCCAACAGAAGCGTCAGATTTACCAAACTTCGGCGGCGCTCTCTTCGAGTCCTTAGCCTGGGACGGCTTCGGCTTCGAATTTGGTGCGGACTTCTTAAAACCCTTGGCCTGTGGAGATTTCGAGGAACCGGAGGGGATGTACTTCTGCTTCTTCGGGTCGGACGGCTTCTCCCCTCTTCCCCTGCCACCCGTCGACCCTCCACCGCGCTTCCTTTTCTTCGACAGACCCCGTTGCTCCTTCACCGCCATGATCTTCCTCCTCTCCGAACGGCCGCCGCTCTACTCTGTGAGCTTCTTCAGGAGAGGACTCGCGTTAGGCTTTTGAGAGGGGTTTACAGAACTGCCCAACTCCGTACACGCAGTATTCGATGTTGTCCCGGTATATTACATAACGTTCCTCATTTAGTTTAATATTTTTATCTATACCATGCTTACAACAATATTGTTCCCATATACAATAAATAGGGACCCTGAGGCCTATTCATGGGTTTATACATACACACCATTAGGACCCCTAAGGTTTTTTATTACATTGGATAAATATTTGACGATTTGAAAAAACCAAGCTTGTAGTGTGATTTTTATAACAAAGATCACTGATTATCTATTTTATAGATAAAATAATAATAATCTACTTGAATATTTTACTTTATAAATATAATTATATATTTTCAACCCTCATCAATCTGGGTAAAAAAAAAACCTCCACGAATATAAAAAAATATTATTTATCAACGATGAGATAAATAAGGCTGGTACGGTCCCTAATATTTTCTTACTACATTTGGATAAATATTTGGTGATTTCGAGAATCCAAGCTTGTGGTATGATTTTTATAACAAATATCACTTATTATATTATATATAATAATAATAATATGGCTTGCATATTTAACTTTATAGTTAGAATTATATATTTTCAATAGTTATCACTCTGCGTTAAAAAAGAGGGGACCTCCATGAATCAAAATATTTATTATTTATCAACAATGAGATAAATAGGGCCAATTTGGTCCCTAATATTTCTTAACTACATTTGGATAAATATTTGGTGATTTTAAGAATCCAAGCTTGTGGTGTGAATTATATAACAAATACCCCATATTATATTATATATAATAATTTTAATACTCTAGTTTGATTATTTAACTTTATAGATATAATTATATTATTTTTATTAAAAGGACTTCCATGAATCAATATTTATTATTTATTAACAATGGGATAGATTGTGGTCAATTAATCTGAAAAAAATGTATGACACTTCTTTATGTAGTGAAGGCTTTATTTGTATGCTTTTTTCAGATGGTATATTTTCCCTTGAATAATTTTGGATGGTAAAAGATAGGATATTTCTGGTCCCCAATTTTTTTTATTACATTTGGATAGTTATTTGACGATTTTAAAAATCCAAGATTGTGGGGTGATTTTTATAACAAATATCACTGATTATATGTTATAAATATAAATAATAATACTTTGGCTTGCATATTTAAATGTATATTTTTAATTATATATTTTCAACATTAATCAACCCTGGTAACACAAAGTGGACCAACATGAATCAAAATATCAACAATGAGATAAATAGGGTTGGACTGATTCCTACGATTTTTTTATTACATTTGGATAAATATTTTGTGATTTTAAAAATGCAAGTTCGTGGAGTATTTTTTTAAAGAAATATCACAGATTATGTATTTTATAGTTAAAAAATAACACTATGGCTTGCATATTTGGCTTTGTAGATAGAATTATATATGTTCAACACTTATCAATCTGGGTTTTAAAAAAAGGGATCTCCATTAATCAAAATATCCATTATTTATCAATTATCAGATAAATTGTGTTGAATTCATTTGAACAAAATATATAATATTTCTATATGTAGTGAAGGCTCTATTTGAATAGTTTTTCAGATTGTCTATTTTCCTTTGAACAATTTTGGTGGTAAAAGATGGGCCGGTCCAGTCCCTAATATTTTTTAATTACAATTTGATAGATGTTTAACGATTTAAAAAATCCAAGCTCGTGGTGTAATTTTTATTGCTAATATCACTGATTATATATGTTATAAATAATAATAATAATAATAATTTGAAAAATATTTAACGATTTAAAAATTCCAAGCTCGTGGTGTGATTTTTATAGCAAATATCACTGATTATATATGTTATAAATAAATAATAAGAATACTTTGGCTTGCATATTTAACTTTGTATATAGAATTATATATTTTCAACCCTATAAATCTGGATAAAAAAGGCAACTCCATGAATAAAAATATTCATTATTTATCAACGCTGAGATAACTTTTGGTGAATTAATCTGAACAAAATATCTGATATTTATATATGCAGTAAATACTTTATTTGATTTTTGTTCGGATGGTCTATTTTCCTTTGAACAATTTAGGTGGCAGAATATAGGGCCGGTCTGGTCCATTAGCCGGCTGGGGAGCGACCCCGAAGGCCGGCGGCGGGAAGGCCATTACTCCCACGACAGCAGAAGAAACCCCCCTGGCAGAAAAACCCTCCTCCACCCGCTTGGGCCTCCAAGCGCCGGCCGCAGGGTTCTGTGTACCGGAGATGGCGACGCCCATGGAGGCCGAAGTCGAGGAGGCGAGGGTAGGGGATGGTCTCAGGTCTCTCCGGATTGATCCCGTCGACGCGGAGGGGGAAAGTGGCGTTATGGATGCGGGGAATGGGGACGAAGGGGAAGAGGAGGAGGAAGGAGAAGAAGAAGAGGATGAAGAGGATGAGGAGGACGAGGACGAGGATGAGGAGTCCGTTACAACGCTTGGATTTCTGGAGGACCCGGAGAATTCTGAGACCCTCCTCCGGCACTTCTTCCCGAGCAAAGCCGGAGGCGTGCCCGTGCGACTCAAACCCCAGAGATCTGGCTTCTGCTGTTGTCTATATTTTGAGTATTTTCTGTAGCTGATGGAGTTTATATTATAATTGATCTCAGGCGTGGTTGGATCCAGTGAACTTGCCGTCGGAGCAGTCCAGGAAGTGTGGGTTCTGTGGTGAGCCTCTGCAATTCCTTCTTCAGGTCAGCCGTCTGACTGCCAAACTCACCTATTGAAACTCATGAGTGTTTCTTTACTCAGGTCCTCGTTTCACGTGGGATACAATCATATTTCTTCGTATTTATGTGCGTTAGGTTTATGCTCCAATATCCGAGGAGGAAGCTACCTTCCACAGGACATTGTACGTGTTCATGTGCTCGTCTATGAAATGTCTTCTCCAAGACCAGCATGAGCAGTGGAAGCGCAGAGTGGATAATCCTTCTAGAAGGTGCCCACTACCCTTCTACACTCATGAGCCGTCTAACCCTTAAAGTGCACTTCTCTAACTGAGTTCAATCTACTTCGACCTCTGACGCATGTAAATGATGCATGAAGTGTGAAGGTCTTCCGTTGCCAGCTACCACGTTCTAATCCCTTCTACTCTAGTGAGCCTCCATTGTACGATGGCTCTGACAAGCCATCGGGAGCTGGAGGTAACTATGTCTTCATTTTGTTCTCAAGACTGTGTCCATTTATTCCGAGCATATATACACACGATATCATGAAAATTCTCCAGAAATCGTTACATCATTGATTAATCCTTTTTCTCAGTATCTTTTAACTATGCACTTGATTTTTCTAGTTTCTTCTTTTGGCACTTCACCATTTTTCCAGACAAAGCTCAAGGATATTTCATCCTACATTCTTCACACCTCATTTATTTGATATTGTTTCCATTATTTTGGTTCAATTGAAATTCTCAGTTTCAGTTGGCATCCACCTCTGTGCACCTTTTCTTGTCAGCTCACCTTTGATTCTCCTTTCTTTGGGTTTGTTTGATAGTGCATACTATCGCATGGGTACTGTTCGATAATCTCAGTAAGCCACTTTAGAAGAGGAGAAAAATAGAAATGCCTTTGTGGATCCCTGCTTCCTGCATTCCTAATTCAACAGTGTTCTTTACATGATTTTTTTGTTGATGCTGTCAGCCCCACTTTGTTGCTGGTGTGGCACGTGGAAAGGTGACAAACTATGCAGTAGTTGCAGGAGAGCACGTTATTGCTCGGAAAGACATCAGGTAATCTTCTGAGAACCTAAGTAAACAGCAGTAATTAACTTTCTCTGCTGGAAAATATTAATGCTTCCCCTTTTCCTCCAGACTTTGCACTGGCGTTCAGGGCATAAAAGTGACTGTCGTCAGTCTATTTCTTCTCAAACCAGTGACTCTATGCTGAATTGTAAAAAAGAAGAATTGGCAGAAACACATAAATGTTAGTGTCAATTCTTCCTTTGTCGGGCTGGCTCATACTTTAAATGTCTCTAAACTGATTCGCTTGAGGTTGACAGTTGCCTGTAGGACGTTGTGGCCAGAATATGAGATCATCAATGAGGATGAGTGTGTACAAGATGAGAAGATGACTGTGGATAATGGATCAAATCTCTCGTTAGTAGCCAAATCGGATGACACAAGCAAAGCATTTCAATCATGGTTTGACAAGTTTGAGGTGCAGTGCCGTTTATATATGTGTATACATTTATATTCCATTCTGTCTTTGTATATTTTTCCTGAATCGGTCTCTAATTGGTTCAGGTAAATGATGATAAGAAAAGTTGGGCATCATTCCAAGAACGAATTGCTAATGCTCCCGAACAAGTCCTACGGTAAGTTTTGTTCCTTGTGCATGTTAAATATTTTTTGCATCAACTTTATTTTGTGTTGCTGTTGGAAAAGTTGGGCATCATTCTGTCCCTTTGCGCGTTCATGTGTGCACTTGCATGGATGTAGAGATTGTCTTTTCTCTAGCCAAGTGAACGTTTACAATATTTTAATGATCATCAGCATAGTCACTTATTTTGGAAACATTAGTTATCTTTAATTGGGCTGTGGAAGGTGGGACTAGTTCTATTGAATTACGCTCTGTGTGTCTAATGTTCAGAAACAAGGAGGAAAGCCCATTAAAGTAGGTTATAATACCAGTTTATGTTGTGAACTCATTTATCTTTGCTTCATGTGACCATACACTAATTGTAGTTGGTTCATTCTCTTCACTCTTTTTAACATCAGAGATTCCTATTGTGCTGACAGTAGAGGTACAGAAGTTTGAATCCCTCATAGTTTTCGTCTTTAATAGAAAAGCCAACTTATCTTAAGATTTTACCTGGCGACTTCATGTAATGTTTTGCCGACATTAATAAGCTTGCCATTTCTTAATTTGAGAAAACCGACCATGATAATTCCCCGTCATGAATTACAACAGATATAGCCGGGATGTGAGGGCAAAACCCTTATGGCCCTTGTCTGCAGGCAGGCCATCTAAAGCAGATATTCCTAAATGCAACTATTGTGGTGGCCCATTATGCTATGAATTCCAGGTGTGACGATCTCCCTTTCTACGTTCTCTTTCAAGTTTCTCTTCATATATTATCGTACAGTCAGTTTTGCTGAACACCACTTCCGGTTGTTTAGCTATATTTATTCATGTTTCTGATTTCTAATAGTATTTTTCTGGCTGTTTGTTCGTCACCGTGTATTAAAACTGTTATTCTGTTGTCTTGCAGATATTACCACAGTTGCTTTACTACTTTGGCGTGAAAAATGATCCTGACTCTCTTGACTGGGCAACCATTTCTGTATTCACGTGCATGGCTTCATGTGAAGCAGGGATTGGCTACAAGGAGGAATTTGCATGGGTTCAACTATCCACACCATCCGCCAGTATTTAATACGCTTGATACACCAATTAGTTGCAAGGAAGAATTCCATAGTTTCTGGTAAATACACATTAGCCATTCTCCAATGATAATTCACAGTATTCACGGTACTACACAGCTCTGTTTTTCTTTTAGGCAATGCTTGTCTTCTTCCTCCCTATATGGGATAATTCCATGGAAGTTGTCATTGACATTTTGTGAAGTTGATTCTGAATAATTTTATAAATTAGCTGCGGAATAGATAAATGTTTCGGGTATGGTTCAGTTTGGTGTCCGTTGCATGGAATATTCTACTTGACTTCAATTTTAGCCTTGAGGGTATTTTACGATCTTGTCTTTCCTTTATAGTTTTTTTCAATGAGAAGGTCGCACATATGGCAGCTAGATTTTTTTTTCTGTGCGAACATCTTTGTTGAAACAGGAGAGTGTTAGGGCCTCAACTTCGTTGCCTCTCACGTATTTATAAATAAAGATACAGTGGCATTATGCTTTAAGACATAATATGGCGTGGCTTAATCCTCCCATATTCTGAATGATTCACTTGTTCACGATTATAGTTGGCCTACCACATCCATATTCGAATGGACCCTCTAACAATCTCTTCCAGTTTTCTTCCATTGTTCCTAGATTGTTGCATTTTGTAATATCTCATCCATTGTTTTGTCTGCAAAAAATTGTATGCCTAATAAAAAGTTGATGTGGAACTAGATGGTTAGGCGCACTAACCAGGATTTTATTTGGTGTGGAGATCTAATTTGAGAAATAAACTCCAGGAAGCTATCTGCTGTTGAGTTGGTATGTAGACAAGTCGCATTAAAGTAGCCAGATTTATGCTAAACTGAAGGAGCTCTTCCCATTGACATAAAGGGTGGTGACTACTTGCCTCTACGGAATAGGCGTACTTTGTTCTGCCTAAAGTTCATATAGATTAGAACCCAAAGCGAGCTGATCGAAAGGCTTCATTCTTTCTGATTGTTTTGATAATTGGGTTTTTCACTCGGCTAGGTCCATCCCTAGAATGAATTGGGCGGCCCAGAATCCCGGCTAATTACAGTTCCAATTGTGTCATGAATTTGTGAACCATGGATGCAATTCAACCCAAGGCTTGTCTACCAGTGCGTCTATGTACAATAGCATCTCTTAGAGTAAAATATTATTCTTTCACAATGCTTGACTGATGATAGCCAATTTCGCAGGTAGGCCTTTCTTCCACTTCTGTCAGTGCTTCCCAGATTGCAACCCTAAATAGTTATTTCTTCAACCTATTCAAGATCAATCAACTGAATCTATCGCCTCATAAGAAGAGAATTTCGCAACGTCGGATTGCTCGGCTTTTCTATTAATGGCGAGAAGCACATTAAATAAGCTGATGACGCTCTTTGGCTTACTATACTTGGAAAGCGGCTCCCACTCTGTGCTCTTATAGTTTTCTCCAATTATCCAAGTTTCAAGTTGATGTGAAATATTGTTTCTGACGTTAAATCATTGCAGCCCATATATCTGCAATTTTTTGTCATCGAAATCTGGTAATCATGAGTAATACAAAACCTTGGTAAGTAACAGATGACATGCCGCGCAATAATGCAGAGGTCCAATACATATCTCACTTTTATTCACATTAAGAAATGTTCTTAATTTTTTATGGTTAATCTTGCAGTTTGGGCGAGGTATTTACTGGGTACGGAACAGGCAGATAGCTCATAGATGATTTTGACGATGCACTTTGATGTTAATTACCAAAAAATAATAAAAATAATATGTCCGATTTATTATTTTCCTTCACATTAGTGGATTCATGTCGGCTTTTTCATATAGGGGAGCATGAATCTGCTGCCTTTGCTTGAATATTCCTTTCAATTTATCAGACTTTCTTAATTTCTCAGAACTGTGAGCCACATTGTGTAATCATAGAAACAGGGGAATTGAGAAAAATCAGCAATTCTGACAGTTGACTTTGCCATCTCCTGAATGCTACCTATCATGCTAATATTCTTTGTTTTCTTCATTGTATTTGCAATGCCGAATCCCTTGTACCATTATTTCTTAGGTTGATTACCTTGTTGGGCAAGATGTTTGGACTCTATGGGTTTACTATTTTTGAGCAAAATATCCGCTAGACAGTTTATTCAGGTGAAGACATCAGATGCTTCATGGTTCCCGTAGTTTGGTTGTCCCTTCTCCCCTGTATGTATACAGAGAGAGAGAGAGAGAGAGAGAGAGAGAGAGAGAGAGAGAGAGAGAGAGAGAGAGAGAGAGAGGGTTTTGCAGACTAACTCTATAACATTCTTCAGCTTCCCTCTGTCCCTTAGTCTGTGATGGATAGAGACTTGTTCTACTTACGGCTCTAGATAAAGAACCGGTACTCCCAGAGCAAGCATCATGAGACATTTTTCCATGGTTGACTAAAAACTCCTCATCCTCATCATCCTCATCATCGTCGTCGTCGTTGTCGGCACAAGGTTTAAAAGGAGTGCTTCCTGCCCCAATAGTTGACTAATATTTTCCTTAATTAGTATCCAAAGATCAATGGGCGACCGTGGTTTCTATATGGAGCTGAGCGCTTGAAATATTAGAGAGAAACTCCAAGGATCCATAAGGTCCTTCCCCTTCTAACACAGGCAGACAATCCGCTTCCCGACGTTGGGACTCTTGGGCCATTCCTCGTCTCTCGTAGACTCCTCAGAAGCCGCTCTGACCCGCCACAAAGTCAACGGAAGCAGAGAGAAAAAAATCGCTTCCCCGTCTCACATGACACTGCAGGCGTTCGGGTTCTCGTCGCTGAAGATGGAAGTGATGTTGTTCTGATGGGGGTGGTAGGAGATGACGTTGCCCCCGTCGTTGCTTCCGCCGCCGCCGTGCTGATGGCGATAATAGTCGTCGGGGTATCTGACGCTCACCGGCGGCGCCCGGAGGTCAGCGTACTCGAATATTCCGGCGGCCGGGCGGTACCTGTTGTAGCTGTGGATGATGTGATCATAGCCATAAGCAGGAGGCTGATCTGCCCAGTGAGCTCGGAGGACGTGCCGGTGAGGGTAGTCATGGATCATGTGGACGCCGTCGCCGGAGGGGTCCTTCCCCTCCGGTGGCGCCGGCGCAGCGGCTTCTGCCGCCGGCTTGGCGTCTTCCGCCGGTTTCTCCGGCGGCGGCGGCGGGTCGCTGGGTGGCGCCGCCGGCGGGGCGGGCTCCGCCGGCGGAGCCTCTGCGGGGGACGGGCTGGGATCCGGCTCCGGCGCCGGCGAGGGGCTCTCGCCAGAGGCGGCGGCTTCTGTGTGGGAGCTGACAGTGGTGGCCTTCCTCGTCTTCTTCACGGCTTTCATGATCTTCTCCAGGCTGGCCCTGCCGACTACCGTCACCTTGTTCTGGTCAACGTCGACGTTGACGGCGGATACGCCTGCGGAGACCGCCGCCGCCGCCGTCAGACTCGCCGGAGAGGAAGAAGAAGGAGAAGAGGAAGACGGCGGCGATTCTCACCGGCGACGCCATGCAGCGCCCTCTTGACCCTCTGCACGCAGCCGTTGCAGTCCATCCGAACGATCATCTCCGTCACCCTTACCGGCTCCTGCAACTCCCACGGGATCGGAGAAAAAATTGCACCACGGTGAGGTCAACGCCGGAGAACTGCCACTCTACGATTGACTTTTACGTTGGAATATTGTATCAGACCTCGGGTTCTTGGGCCATCCCGCCGGAGAGCCGCCGCCGGAGGAGAAGATCGTCGCCTGCTGTTTTCTTCTCGCCGGACGAGGAACCCGGAATTTATACCCGCGGGGCGGGGGGGAGAAGGGGAATATGGAAAAGCTAGAAAAGACGTGGGGAATCTACAGAAGGTGAGTGAGAGGAGAAAACGACGCAAAGTCAAAGGCCCTGTCCGAAAGAGAGACCATCTTCTCCTTCCATTCGCCGCCGCCACCGCCGCCGCCGTCGCCATCGCGTCGCAGTCATATCCTCCCCCTGCGGTGACGTCATCCACCGCCTATAATTGCCGCCGGAATATCTCCGCCGCCCCCCGACGCAGCGGTGAAAAGGACGGCTGCTTTGGCCGGGCAAGGAGATCCCTTCCTTGGGCATCGGGGATGTCGCCATGAACACGGAATGAGGCTCCGGTGGCTCGAAGATAAAGATCTCTATCGCCTCAGCAGCTCCATTTTTTTATATTTTTTAGGGTTTCCCGTGTGGGAGTGGTGCAACTGCTACTTTTCGGATCTGCAGATGTGTGCTCACGAGCAAGCGAACGGCAGCACCCAGGATTTCCACGGCGAGGAAGAGGATGACTTCCGGATTAGGGTTTGCGATCTGCTGATCGAGGTGATCTTTTCTTGAAATGGGGATCTGCTCGTTCTAGCTGTAGTCGGTCGATCATATTCCTTGATTATTATCTTTCGCCTGTGTATTAAAAAAATAAATCTACGAATATTAAGTCAAATGGTTGCTTGGTGGATTATTGATCGACATGACTAGGGCAACCGAACTCCGCGAGAATCCACACATCTTTTGCAATGCACATCTATCTATGCACCCGCATTCATACGTAAGATAGATAGACGGATAGGAAGAGAGTACAAATGGTGGTACTAGGAAAAGGGTCTGAGCTTGATAATTTTTATTGATGGGCTTGATCTTAAGGGGTTATCTTAATAGAAAAAAATGAGAGCCAATTAGGCTTTTCTCAAGTAATTATGGCCCTGCATCTTTGGTTGGAATAATGTTTATGAAATATATATGTCGATTTATTGATATATTTACTACTTAAGATAGTCTTAGTAGATTCGTACACATAAAATAAACCAAAACGAATTGCTAGTAGAACCAACGGCTGTCACATGCTTCAATATCATCTCATAATTGAATCATTTTTTTTTTCCATAAAGTACTCGAAAAGAGATTATGAAGATTGTTAATGGATCTACAAGCTTATATACATCGCCTCCCGTTTATTGTGAGTTTATGATCTGATATATTATTCATCTATACCATAATTTTGGAGCACATTTTCTCTAACCCTTGCTAAATCCTGGGATTAACTTAACCACTAAGTCCCCCTCTCTCAATGAGATCATATCGAATGATTTGATAACAAGTGGAACCTATGAGAGAGAGAGAGAGAGGGAGAGAGAGAGAGAGAGAGAGAGAGAGAGAGAGAGAGCCATCACCACTGGATATGCGACCCATTGTTTTTTGCCCAAAGTCCACAAAAGATTGGCAGATTTGGGCCGGGATTCCAACTTTTCCCAGCCCAATAATGCCTCTCGTGGGGAGGATGTAGGGGCGGCATGTTTGGAGCCGATTCGAAGCCATCCATTCTAGAAGAAATCTGCTTTTCCAGAATCTCGTTTTCGCGAAAGATTTGGGCCCCACGACTCTGAAATGCCCCTCGGGCCGCCATCACCACCTTTTTAAAAGGCCCACACAGTATTCGTGGTGGAGCTCGGCCCATTTAGATTATCCGATCCATTCACGACGGTGAGGAGTCGCTTCCTAGCGTTCTGCTCACCCTCCGATTTAGTTTCACCCTCTTCGTGGCAAAAGAATCTCCACCCGTTCTCTGTGTGTCTCTGCAAATTGACATCGTGATACACGATCCCTTTTTGGCACTAAGAAAAGTCAATCTTTTCGTATATTCCCTGCGCGCCCGCAATCTTTAAGTCCACGATTCCTTCCTGACCGTCGATCGAGTGGGCCTTATTGGATTCGGTGGACCCTTGTGATCTCTGATCGTGTCGGCCAGCATATTAGGGAGCCTAATGGGCTTTTGTGCTCGGCCTCTTCTACACTCTTACTTCTTGATTCCGATCATGACCGTTGATCGAGTGGACCCAATTGCATTTGGGTGGACCCATTATGATCTATAATCGGGCCGACTAGTGTTTTTTATCAGCAATCTGATGGGCTTTTGGGCTTGGGAGCCCGTCCGTATGGTGGGGCCCGTTCAAATGTCGTGGAATCCTGGTGTTCCGCCGGTGGGCCCCACAAAAAAATTTGAAATCACCCGCGAGATCAGAGAGTATATAAACGAGAAAGAAGCTCGAAAACGGAGTTTCTTGATGGCCCCCCGCGTCGTGTGGGGGTCTGGTTGCCGGAGAAGGTGAGATGTCGCAGAAGGCGGATGTGAGGGCGGAGGTGCGGCGCGGCCGCTACAAAGTGGCTGTGGACGCCGAGGAGGGCCGCCGGAGGAGGGAGGACTCCATGGTGAAGATCCGAAGGAGCAAGAGGGAGGAAGGACTGCTGAAGAAGAGGAGAGAGGGAATGCAGGGGCTGACACTTCCTATGTCTAAACTAGCCTCTTCAACGGAGATGAAGGTAAGCCGGTGGCTCTCCACCCCGTTTCGATATGCGATCTGATCCGCCTTGAATACGTGGCCTAGCGTCGCGCGTGTTGAATTTTTTCTAAAAAATTCGTGATGTTATGTGGCTCTTGATTTTGGTGGCCTTTGGCATGGCTGTGGATATATTTCTGAAGCTGACAGCCCTACCGTCAATGGTATCTGGATTACGTTCAAACGACGTGAGACTGCAGCTCAAAGCGACAATGCTGTTTCGGAAATTGTTGTCAAGCGGTACTGGAGAGATCGTCTGTTTTCATTCCTGCTTTGTCTATTCTCCTTTGCGCTCACAGTTTATATGTTTGGATATTTTTCTTAATTGATAAATCAGACAGAAATCCTCCAATTGCTCCGGTGATCCAATCTGGCGTCGTTCCTCGTTTTGTCGAATTTCTAACGCGGGAAGATTGTCCCGAACTCCAGGTAGGAACACTGACGTTTATTATGTTGAGACAACACGTTAACCCTCGATAATTTTGACAAGTAGGCCGGAAAACATTGTAGTTCCTTTGTTCTTTTAAGCTCTTTCAGTGTGGATTGAACCCTTGAGTAAAAAGGTTATTCCTATGATTCATTAGCTTACATATTGAACGAAGAATATGATTTATTATCTGAACCCTTTTCAAGGCCTCTATCGTGCCAAGTTAGCTTTACTAGGAAGCCTTCTTGTAGAGAATTGATGGCAGGCGGTCAGAGCCAAATCTACTTTCTTTGACGTAATGTATGCGTAATTTATTCGAATACGCATTTCAGTGGAGAATTTATTTTCTGAATCTATCCCTCTGACTGTGTCTTATTTTGAAAAATTCATCAGTTCGAAGCAGCTTGGGCTCTCACGAATATTGCTTCTGGTACCCCAGAGGACGCTAAGGTTGTTATAGACAATGGTGCAATACCTATCTTTGTGAGGCTACTTAGTTCTCCGAATGAGGACGTTCGTGAGCAGGTATATGCATACACATTACAGTAGCTTCTCATGAGGACTCAAAACTGGCCATGAGAGTATCCAGTGTATATTTTTTATGTTACTGATGTTGTTAATTTTTTTAAATAGACTGCGTGGGCATTGGGCAATGTTGCTGGCGATTCTCCAGAGAACCGTGATGTTGTTCTGGGATATGGTGCAGTGACAGCGTTGCTGAGTCAACTCAATGAGAACTCAAGGCCAGGCATGATAAGAAATACGACTTGGGCCTTGTCAACTTTATGCAGGGGCAAACCTCAGCCCTCTTCTGAGACGGTCTGACGATTGTGCGTGATTATGTTTATCTCTTTCTCCTTTATGTCCTGTTTCGTCTGTTGACATCGATATTTTTTCTTTTTTCGAATAGACAAATGCTATTCTTTCTGCCCTTGAACGTTTGATTCACTCAGATGATGAGGAAGTTCTGACTAATGCATGCTGGGCACTTTACTTTCTCTCTGATGGGAATCGTGAACAAATTCAAGCTGTTATTGAAACTGGTGTTTGCCCTCGACTTGTTGGACTTCTACTGTAAGAGATGAAACTTCTCCTATGTCATTAATATGCCCGACATTTTGGGGACTAGTTTTTTTTTTCATTGTACTTCAGTGATGAATATCAACATAATTCTATTTTTCAACATTGTTATTTTCAGCCACCCATCACCTTCTTTATTGATTCCTGCACTTAAAACTGTTGGGAACATTGTCTCCGAGGATGATTTTCAGACGCAGGTATCACTTGTGTTGAAAACTGCCTCGTATTACTTCCGATCTGCTTTTCTACATTGGAATGGAAGAATTTGGAATCACCCAAATCACACTCAGAAATGCCCAATAAATAAAGTCGGTAAAACATGGCCATGATTTTAGTTTCTATTTGCACATTATCAGCCCTCATAAATGGAGACAGCAGTGTTCACTTATAACTTTTAGGCTCTCTGGGTAATCACGCCAATGTTTGGCACTGATATGAATTTTCATTTGAAACGGCCATTTCATTGTCTATTTTCAATTTGCTTCTGACTTCGGATTTGTTAGACCTAAATTCGGCTTAAATCAGACCATCGGTGTAATCTGAGATATTCTTCTTGAAAGGGTTTTCAGATAATAGTTGTTCGGGCAAAAATCCTAGGAAACTGAAAAGGAAAAACGAACCTGCAGTTCGTGATTCTAGAAAAGACAAACGCATACCCTATACGACAAATAGCGGTCAGAACTATCTACTCTGAAGGAGATTGTACAGTATGTGGACACAGTTAATTACAGTATTTACTTTTGTAAATTTTATTCCACATCGCTGTAATGGCGTCTTTATTTTTGTCTCAGTTTGATTTTCTTTTTATAGAACAAGCGGATTCGTTTGACATTGCTTTTGATTATTAACAATGTCACAAAGCACGGTATAATTATAACCATTAGAACCTTCTCTCTGTCCTTTACGTCAAGTGTTTGTCTGGGGACGTGAGCCAGATTTTCTCCCTCAAGGGAGTCGATCCAGATGCCACCCGGCCTCAGTTTCGTGTTCTTGAGAATGACATTAGTAAGAATCAATAATTCAAAAGTTGATGCGCTTAAGAACGACAAAAAATACTTGCCGATACTAACATCACTTGAATTTTTTGAATATTTTGTTGGATCAAAACCTACGATTTCCTCCTCCCGAGATCATGATAGAAAAATTGTATTGAAACCGAGGTAAACAAAGGTTGGATAACGGAGTTAAATTGGAGAACATATTTTCGAGAGTATACTTTTCAGTGGTTTCTTGCTTCGATGCTGTCAAATTCAGAGGCTTAAAATGGCCTAGGTTTAGATGTATTATCCAAATACTTCATATAATACACAATTTATAAATATAGAAAAATCCCATGCTAGGATCTTTTGATAATGGCTTTATTGTTTTACTTGCTATAACTTAAGGTAAGTTTAATACCCTTAGTTGTCTCTGGAATAATTTTGGCGTTAAAATTTGTGTTTAAACTTTGTCTTCCCAATGTGGATTATTTTGTGTGCTACGGATGCTTTGTTGCATTATTGAATCCTTGCTTTTTCCAGTATATGATCGACTGCCAGGCGCTCCCGTCCCTTCTTAGTCTCCTAAAGCACACTCGCAATAAAGACATAAAAAGGGAAGTTTGCTGGACAATTTCCAACATTACTGCTGGGACCACGGAGCAGATACAGGTAAGCACCGTGGAAGAATTAACTACAGTTCGGCGACTGTCTGCGTGATTCTTTTTTAGATGATACATGGAACATCCCTCTGGATGCTTATGTGATAACTAAACGCAAATCCCAAACTCTGTTTTTTATATTTAGATTAAAATGTTATGCCTATATACATATTTAAATTATGTTCCGTTTACGATTATCCCTGGCGTTTTGTGTGGATGACCTCTGTTTATGGCAATAACAAGAGCACTAATAATCTGCGGACGACCTCTGTTTATGGCTTTTCTCACTCCTGCTCCTTCATATTGTTGCTTTTTTGAACCCTTTAGGCCGTCATTGATGCCGATATCATCCCCTATCTTGTCCATCTGTTGCAAACTGATGATTTCGGAGTCAAGAGGGAAGCTGCTTGGGCGATCGCGTTCGTCGCCTCTGGTGGAACTCCCGAACAGATAAAGTACGCGCTTTGCTCGGCTCTTCATCTGGGCCAAGGTTTTCTACTAAAGAAGAGCCATTTGGAAATTCACTCTCGCTCAATCTACACCCGGTTTCAGGTATCTGGTCCGCGAAGGCTGCATTAAGCCGGTTTGCGGTCTCCTCTCGTGCCCAGACAAGGATCTAGTTCGCGTATGTCTCCAGTTTCTCGGCCACATCCTCAGCGTCGGTAAAGCCGAGAGGGATGTGGGAAGCTCGGGAGGCGCCAACGCCTTTGCGCAGATGATCGAGGACTCCGAGGGGTTGGAGAAGATCGAGAATCTGCAGAGTGACGATAACCCCCTGATCTACGAGAAGTCCGTGGAGCTTCTCGAGAAGTATTGGCAAGATGATGATGGACACGACCATATGGATACCGAAAAATGACTCCGAGAAGACCGTAGGCTCTGAAGCTCGCCATGCCTTTTTTTTTTTTTTTTGCGTAAGAGGTGAATAAGAAATCGAAACCCCAGGAGAATCGGGCGACGTGGGGGTCAACTCCACTCCGACAAGTCAATAAGGTCCGGGGCCCCTTGCTCGTGAGTCAGGTGAAGGTTGACTGATAATCGATTGATCTCGGATAGATTAGCATTTGAGTATTTGCTTGATATTTGTTGCAGGTGAAGGCAAGTTTTCCAGCTCTGGGTTAGCGTTGACCCCGGAACAAAGGTCTGGCGTTGGCTTCGGGACGAAGGTTTGCATTTGACTCCACTCCTTACTCACTAAATTTGAGTTCGTTATACAAGCCGTGGTTGTCCTCCCCGACATCGCCGAAATTCGCTCTTCTAGGGTGTGGGTTTGATATAGTGCCCATCAAAATTGAGAATTAGAAAAAAGCCCTTACCTTTTGCTGAACTTGAAAGTAGCCCCTCACAGGTTCCTCCCTCCCTCCCTCCTACTTTCAAGATGTTTCCTCTCCTTTTCTCGTTTGGGTCTTTAAGGTTTTGACCCCTAGTGCCACTCTTAGAAAAGAATCCTCTCATCTCTGTAGAATTCGGAGAAGATAGCCCAATGTAATAGATTCACAACGTCTTGCATCATAGGCCCCTCTCTCAAGATAAGGCACCTCTCACCAAATAGAGGTGAAAACGATTTTCTCCCTCACGGGAGAGAGGCAAATCGTCTGGGCCCGCCAATGGTTTCAATCTGACGTCCATGCTGATGTGGCATAGGATTCATCCCTTGTTGCTTTTTTGAGTCGCGGAGGAGCTAGTGAGGGGTTATAGCCTGACGAGGTTCCTATTGATTAGGGTTCATCAAGTCTGGCCCAGGCCCAATGAAGATCCTTTGTTCATTGGGCCTTTATGAAACCTGGCAGACTTATTAACTGCTCGATTGCGGGCAGGAGGCTTCCTATAGGTTTGGTAATCTGGCCGATTCTATCTTACTAAACGCCGTCCTTTGCTCTGATCCTTTAGTGGGCATCTGTGATTTTCATAGTTTGGTACGTTATATATATATATGTATTTTATGGCATATAGAGGGCCGGTTTGGGTATGGGCTTTGAAGGGGTATCAGCTTGGAGTCGATTTTGGGGCTTTTCTTCCGCTAAGCCAGATGAGGGCCTTGTGATTAGGACCAAAGCTTATTATACATGGTGCAACAAAGATGGTCGCGTCTAGGTTAGCTAGGATGCAGACGGGAAGCTGAACTTTCATAGGGGATGACCTATCGGAGGATTTACGAGCCTCCGACCAAAACTTGCACAATGTCATTGAATTCCGTGACTTGATCTTGAGATATTAGGATGATATTCATGATGTTCGTGGTCTTATTATAAGGTTTAAATTTAGAGAGAGAGAGGAGAAGAAAAAGAATAAGTGATCTGCGTTGCGAAAACAAGGTGTACTGAGAAGATCTACATTATATTTTCCCACGGGCAACAAGATCATCATCCTCGATTTTGATGAGATTAGTTGGTCAGAGCTGATGGTTACACCAATGTCACCAATATGATATGGGAAAGGGATTGATTTAACGTTGATGGGTGCTTTCAGCTGCAGTCTGTCACATCTGAGGTTGGTAGAGCCGGAGAGAGAGGGGCGGGAACCAGACCATAGCCCCTACCACAGAGACATACGGGGTCCTAATCATCAAATCCCAGGTCTGGTCTGCATCAAATCCCAATGAAAGCGAAGCCCCCCCCATTCCTAAGACCCTCGCGCCGGGGATGAAGGATCTAAAGGTTCTTCTCCGGCGTCTGAGATTACCACATGCTGGAATCATCGGCAGGCAGAAGGTCTGCTCTCATCCATCGAGGCGGCGGTGCCGTGCTATTCCGATGGACGACGTCCAGCGTCTTCTTCACAGCTCTGGCGGGGGCCTAGAAGACTGATGAGACAAACAAAAGAGGGTCAGAGACGACTCAATAAATCCCAAGGATTTCTATTCGAATTCTTTCGAGGCTACCCAGTTGGTGATGGTCTCGGTCATCTCCCCCACCATGGGGAGCTCCATGAATGCCGCCGGGCTCCTACGGACCGGAGGAGGGAGGAGCGAAGAGGAGAAGCTTCCCTGCATGAGTAGAAGGACGCCGGTAAAGCGGCTCCTTCATGCCCGACGCCAGACGGGCCGGCAACCAGTCCTCCCCACCGTAACCCTAATAATCAGTGAGGGAGGGGGATGAACAGCCGGCTAGGTAGGGTTTTCCTGATCCTCTCCTTCTGTAATGTAATCATACAGACGAAAGGTGGGGGGAGGGCGAGGAGGGGGGGAGCCCCCCCCTAATCATATCTTGCGGTGTACTCACCGGCGAAGGACTGTAGCTAGGAGCCTCCTTTCCTCCCTGCGGTTTATACAACCCCCAGGAAAGAGCTTAGTGGCATTTTCGTAGTTAGCCGGAGTACGGGGGAAGCGGTCTGTGAGAAGCAGCCACGGCCCGCGCCGCCGCTGTCGTGGTCTATATGTCTTGGCTGCCTGTCTCTCTCACTCTCTCTCTCTCATTCGCTACACCGTCTCCTCCTTCCTTGTTCAGTCCCTCCGCTCTGTCGCTGTGAAGTGACCCACCCGGGTGCATAAATATCATGTCTGCCTCTCACTGGGTCGCCATCTCCCTGACTCCTCCTAGGTTGTGGGGAAGCAGGAAAGAGATAGATAGAGAGCGATATAGAGAGATAAAGAGAAAGAGAGACAGAGAGAGAGAGGGTTAGAATGCGGAACGTTGTACAGGTAGAGGCGGGGGGTGACGGGAACGTCACCAGCGAGGAGGACGAGTCGGCGGCGACGGCGGCGGCTAAGCAGCACCTCTTCTGCTACTGGTGGTGGCGGTCGGCGCCGGAGTTCGACGACCACGGCCGCCCTGACGAGCGCCTCTACCCCACCACAGTGGCGGAGGTGTCCACACTCAGCCCCAGGCTCCGGGTCCTCAAGGAGATGGAGAGGCTGGCCCTCGTCTCCCACGACTCCCTCGACGACCTTCGCCACAAGCTCCTCTCCTACCACGCCGGCGACTTCTGGGTCCCCGCCGGGGGCGTCCGGAAGGAGGAGGTGGCCATCCCCGAGGTCATCACCATCCTCCTCGTCGGACCCACCGGCTCCGGGAAGAGCTCCCTCGTCAATCTCATGTATTCCGTCCTCGGTCGATCCAGTCTCATCCCCTTTGCGCACACCTCCTCGGGTAACGCCGATGATCCGCCTTCAGAAACCTTCGCTTTCTTCCTCCTCCTCCCCCTCCCCCGCCGTGGTTCTTCGTTTTTCTTTTCTATCTTGAACTTGTTTCCTGTTTGTTATCTGCAGAGGGGAAGGGGACGACGAGGTGCTTGGAGGAGCACAACGTGCTGAGGTCCCTGAGGAACGGCTTCTGCGTGTATGATTCCAGGGGTTTCGACTACGACCACACGGCCGACGGCCTGCGCGAGGCGGCGGGGTGGGTGGAGGACGGCGTCCGCCACCGCCAGCCCTGCGGCGGCGGCGTTGATGGGGATACTCTGGAGGAGAACCTCGGCGACGGGAGCCCGCCGCCGCGGTTCGCGAGGAGGAGGGTGAACTGCGTCGTGGTGGTGGCCAACATGGCGGAAATCTTCAGAGGAATCAAGGCTGGCGACACTCGGCCCCTCGACGCCACCAGGGCCCTCTTTCTCTCCCCCTCTCTCCAACTCTGCGGTAATCTCTCTCTACCTTCTCTCCCTATCTCTCTCTCTCTCTCTCTCTCTCTCTCTCAACCTTTTCTCTAAAAGTGGGCGTGAATTTGGGCAGGGGAGAAGCCGCTGCTGGTGCTGACCCACGGGGACGAACTGTCGGTGGAGGAGCGGATCGAGGGGAGGGTGAAGGTATGCGAGCTGCTAGGCGTGCCAGAGGCGACGGGGGCCTACGACGTGGCGTGCCTGAACGAGTACGGGCTGCCGGTGGAGGAGCTGGATCCGGCGACCGCCTACGCCCTGGCGGAGGCCGTGTACAGAGCGCTGCTGGTGGCCGACCGGCGGCACCCCCCACGACACAGGGCCAAGGAACGCCTCCTCCAAGCCCTCTCCTGGCTCATGTGGTCCCTCGCTGCCTTCTTCGCCTTCCTCTCCTTCTGCTTCTCCAAGCTCTCCAAGCCTGGCCATTGGAAGCTCAAGAACAAGTCCCCATAATCATCTCAACCCCCACCCCACCCCACCCCACCCCTTCTTCTTCTTCTTCTCCCTCAAAAGCTCTTCTGTTCAATAACAACCGGGCCCGGAGGGCTCTGCTGCACCTCCCTCCCCAGAGATGGATGGGGTTTCCTCATGCTCTGGATCTTCTCTGTGTATCTGTCAACCGTTAGCGGCGTAAAATCGTGGTCTTGTTTTGGTTATTCCTGGAGTAGTCCCACATCAAACAACACTATTGAGTTTCTTGATGGGCCGGAATTCCTTCTTCTGTGCTTATGCAGGCCAATAGTGTGTATGATTCATGCCCATTTAGGCTCAGTTTAATGGGTTTGGCCATAATTTGGTGCACCGGGCCCATTTTTCAGATGGGTAGGAACTTCTTTCTTCGGGTCATGTTGCCCATTAATGGCCCACCGAATGGAGGAGTTGACTACTGTTCTCCACGTGGCTGGCGTTTCTGAAATCGAATCTTCCGGTGACGCGTCAACGGGTGCAGTCGGGCGGCGGCGATGACGCGTCACCAGTGACGCCCAGAATGGTCCGAATCAGACAACCAATCGGCTTAATAAGATTAGGATGTGTTGAAGAATGCAGAACAAAAGGGTAAACGTGGCGGTAGTCAACGGCCTGTTCTACTTCGGGTGAGGGCCTCATGTGGGGTCCACTTTAGGCTCCTGATTACCTAGGGTGTGATGGGTGATCAGCTAGCCACGTGCCAAGGTTTAATAAGCTCACTGCTGGGTAACAGGAACCGGGCACGGGGGGGCATAATTATTGATGATTTTCCCATGAAAATACACCATTATATTTTATGGATATTTAATTATACACGCCATTAGGCGCGCACGGCATCGTGGAATTATGGGATGTTTGACCTTCTAGAAGTCACCACCATTTGAACTGGTGTACTAATTTTTGGCGGCAGCAAGTAGGGATGCGCCGCGTGGATGGAAAATAGTAGTAGTTATTACTATTAATGGTGCATGTATTGGCCTCGCAGGGAGAGCCACCGTTGAGCTGCCGGCGGATCTCTCCGGTCAGGAGTTGAGCGTGACTGCCTCGTAGACCTCTCACACGTGTCTCGCCTCTCATTCATTTCTTACCGTGGCTCCAGGTCCACGTCCCTCCATCAATGCGCTTGTGACAGCCAAAGACACCAACACCTTGATAACTCTCTCTATCTCTCTCTCTCTCGTTGGCACCGAAGCAGGAGAGCCGATAAAGTCGCCGGCAGACCCATCTCCTCGTTCTTCTATCTATCTCTCTCTCTAGATGGGTTGCTCTGTGAAGCTGCATTTCTTGCACTGAGTGGCTGGTGCATCTGATCAGGGCGTACCGCCGGAAAGATGGAAGGCGGCGGCGGCGGTGTGAGGGGGTACTGGATGAGGAGGAAGTACCAACGCCTCGGGGGCGAGGGGAGGAGGACGAAGAACCAGCGACACCGGCACCGCCTGGGCCTCGCCCCCGGCGATGGGCGGCGCAGGAGGTTCTGGAGGATAAGGATCTCGCCGTCGGTGGCTTTCCTCCGGCGGGTCATCTCCCCCCGCCGGTTCCTCGCGTCGCTGAGGGACGCCTACGTGCGGCTGATGCTGCGCATCGCGAACTTGCCGGCGATCGCCGCTGGCGGCGGCGGTGGCGGCTTCTGCTCCTTCGGCCCAGGGTTCACCGCGCCGGCGTTCGGCCGGCCGGCCATTAGAGAGTACGACGAGAAGATGATCGTGGAGATTTACAAGTCCCTGCTGGCCCAGGGCCGGCTGACCGCCCTCGCCCCCGGAGACGGTGTCGGGATCGCCGCCGGCCGGTAAGTCACCTTCCGGTGGCTGGTTTTTGCCGGCTCCGAGCGGAAACGCCGCCGATGGAATAAGCCGGCGCGGTATCAGATAGCCGTTCTGCGTTCGGTGATAGGTCGATGATTATCACTCCGGTGACCGGATACTATCCTCGTCATTGCTCCGCTCTATGAATACTCTTGGTTATGAACTCATCAATCTTTATTATTGCCTTTTTTTTCCTTCGTAAATTATGATTATCATAAATTGTGTATTTTTAAATTAGTCTCTGAAATCGCGTCTGATTTTCTACGTGGAGATATTCTAGTGAACCCTGAGATAAACCAAATATATCGATATATCCCCATTTTTGTCCCTTAATTCCCCTTCACAGAAAATGAATCGAAATAAAAATCCGGAATAAATGTATAATTGAGCTCGATTCAATGCTCGGCTTGCCTTCGTCTGGTCTGATCACCTTAGAAAGAGAGAGAGAGAGAGAGAGAGAGAGAGAGAGAGAGAGAGAGAGAGACCGACAGACCGACAGAGGTAGAGAGAGACAGACAGAAAGACAGACCGACAGAAGTAAAGAGAGAGAGATGAGAGAGGGAGAGAGGTATAGAGAGAGAGAGAGAGATGAGAGAGATGAGAGAGGGAGATATATATATATATATATATTATATCGAGAGAGAGAGAAGAGAGAAGAGAGAGAGAGAGAGGGGAGAGAGAGATGAGAGAGGGAGATAGAGGCTGACCTGGACTTGGGTGGAGACCATCCGGTCACATCCCCCGGATACCGGATTTGTACGATTGAAAAGGCCCGACTTTAATGAAGGTCGGCCGGGCCCGGCTTATAGTTTTGATCTTCCGGGCCCGGTGAGGCCCGGGGGGGTGTTTATTTTCAGTACAGTGGCCAAGAGTAAAAACTCAAAGTGGGCTCGGGCCCGAATCCCCACTAACCCGACCCGGCCCGTCCTAACCGTTGCCTGCTAACTACAAGCCCCTGTCAACGTGAAGACCAGGCCTTACCTGGGCTTAAATGAGTTGAGCCCGAAGTCCATTTTCAGGTCATTACTTGACGTCAAGGCTTGCCTGAGCCTTACGGGCTACGGGCCTGGCCCGGAAATGGTGTAAGGCTTGGGTCTTACCCCCACTCTGCCCTCTCAGTTGACCTCTTTGTGGGCCCACCCGTATTTTCCTTTTTATGAAACAGAGTTCTGCGTCGAAGTCGGGCCTGGTTATAGGCGGTGATTATGGGCCGAGTGTGAAAGAGAGGAGGCCCAAGCTGAAAAGAGGGGGGGGTTCACTTGGGCCATATTTGGGTATGTTACAGGGAATGAAATCCCAATGGGGCAGCTATTATGCTCTGCCTCTCATCTGGCCCGTTTATAGACCCGAAACTAGCTTCCTTACCTTACGAGTATTTATATTTATATATATATATATTCTTATAAGTAGTTATTTTTCTACATTGATATGTGAAACGTCTTAGAAGGTATAGATTTGCTTCTCAGAAAGCAAAAAGGATTCGAAGAGAGTAATTTCTTCTTATAGAAAAAGTCAACTGTTTAATGAGAATGGCTAAATTGGTAAGAAACAGAATGAGGTAAGTTGATTGCATTGTATATTAGTAAATAAAAAAGTATCTTATCACTTCCTTTGGTTCATATATTTCAAAGAATATTTAGAGAGAGAGAATACAATGATGTACACAAAAAAAATGCTCACATGAGAACCTACCATGGTTTTAGGTAAAATGAAAAGATAGAAGGTTGAAGATCAAGTCAATTGATGTATTTGTGTGGGATTTGAAAAATGTGATATTGAGCTATACAAGCTAGAAGATTATAAAAAGGAGAAACATAGCCAAAGTCAATAGATAGCATTTTATGAGGATCAAAAAGCTACTTAAGAAGATGTGACTAGGAAATTTATTCACATTATAACATATCTAATGCCTCTTTATAGAAGAAGGATAAAATCAAAACTAAGATGTTAGTGATGAGATTGAGAGACCAAAAATGATGATAAATAATAGGAAGAAATTCATACTAAGCAGAATGACTTGATATAATAGAAATGATAAAAAACAATCATCATTCCTCCTATGCTTGAGCTTTGAATATTTTTTCTTACTAAAGAGAAGAAGTCATTGTGCTAGATTAAGGCCAGGGATGATGAGATACATTTGTATAGGAAGAATAAAAAATATGAATTAGTTGAAATTTAAACATGTATTGAAAACAAATGAAGATTCAATTTGGAAGATAGGGTAACACTAATTGGACGAGATACTAGGTTTGGCTAGTGGGAATTTTAGTAAAATATGTGGATTATACTTTGATGAAATATTTCATTGATTGTGATTATGATTATTGCATTCAAAATTCTAAAGATTATAGTAATCAATATAGAAAAATATTAGGGTTGAATAAGTAGATAAAAAAGCAATGTTTTTTACATTGAGGTTTGTACTAAAAGTGAAAGAAAATGCAATAAATGAAAAGTCTTTTTTGGGTGTAAAATGCTTCAGATCATTAATGTTGAGTCATGAGTAATAAACAAAGAAGATAGATCCTTGTGTTTCTTTCCAAACTTTTGTTATTCATATGGGTATTTTCTTGTGGAAAGCAAGCTAAAAAATGGAGACTATCATAAAATAATTAGATTGATAAGTGTCTAAATATTAATCTAAAAAGTGATAAGTCAACTAACACCCTTCTCTTATTGAAACTTAAATTGAACAAGATATTGCCTATGGATAGAGGAAGACAAATTAAGAGATAGAAAAGATCATTGTTGCCATTGTAGTGAGACACAAAGCTTGGCATATTGGATGTAAGTGGTTTGGTGGGTAGATATCTTATAAATATTATTTTACATTTATTAATACGAATTTATTTAGTTTTAAATGATTATAAGTCGTGCTCATGTATTAAAAAGTTCAAAACTATTTGTAAAGTATGTTAAAAATCTCTAACATGACAAGTGATCTTGAGTAGATGAAGCTAGTTTTCTTGAGACCTGTTTACCTTTGCAATTTGAAGTTATCTTTTGGTAATAAAAACCATGAAAATAATGTTGTGCCTTATTCATTATTGCAAGTTCATGATACCACATAATTGTTGTACTACGGTGCGATAAACTGTTTCTGTATTTCTCATCACGTGGTTGATGAGATACGTTTATTCATTATTTGCACCCAAACGCGTCTTGTATATGGAAATAAAAGATTTGTTAAGAGGGCTGTACGTGAAAGTTTCCCAATCAATTTACTAGCTAACGTTTACTCTATCTACAAATATTGAAAGTGTTAGTGCACAATTTTTTAACAGAAAAACTTATGGTAAATAATACCCATTCCTTCGTAAATGGCTATAAAGAATTAGTTTAATGAAACTAAGTGAAAATAAATATTAAATCATTTCCTTGGGTTTCAATGGATTTTTTGAAATCTAGCTTAAACCAGACACTACTCAAGTAATCTCAGGCTTGGGTCTGTAGAAGTCCAGCTTGAGCTCAAAGCCCTAACAATTGTCTCTAGGATTCAAAATTGGGATAATATAACCTCAAAATCGAGTAGAAGGGCCTCATTCATGTTCAATGCAACATGTGGGCACTACCCCTATACCCTATACCCTAATCGTATCATAACATTCTTGTTTGTAACCACAAAAAGATTGTCAGTAAGTTGTCATGTTTCCTCATCATACATCCATTATATTACAACTTTTCTCACGATTAGAACTGCAATCTCGTGTCTTGTCCATCAGCTATTTACCATAAATATCAACTATCCTGATAAAAGCGTAAGATCAAAAAATGAAAGCAAGGCAACGTCGTATTCCCTGTCAAAATGCAATGTGTATGCACATGACCATGTCCTCCCGTCTCGAAACAAAGCAAGTGAGCATCCATCGAAACAAAGAAAGTGAGGATCTGCAGATTGTGTCCTGGAGCCATCCATCCATCCAAGTTCCTCTCCTCATGATGCGGAGATCACAATGGAGACCCAATGTTTCTGTGTTCCGGAAATCTTTTTCAGGGTCCAAGTCCTGTAGATGTCGTGAGCAAAGGCCGTAAAACAAGCTCTAGGCCAGACTGTTATCACGCGTAATCTCTTGGACTTGATCCTCCCCTCCATATTCACAATCATCCATAAATGATAGCACATAGACGTACATAGGCATATTCTAGACGTACATAGATGTACTCTAGAGGGAGAGAGAGAGATAAACGTAAATAGACGTACTCTAGTCTTCCGGTGCCTATGAAGCCCAGGCTAGGCAAACCCATGGAGATCGTAGGATAGAAAACTTGGACCACAGCCTCCAAGGGATATACCCTACACTTTGATGACGACCTAAAAGGGATACCTGATCACTGTTGCAGAGGCAAACTTCCGCACAGGGACAATCTACTTGTACTCTGAGTCCTGGTTGCAATCTCTCTTGTGCCGGAGGAAAAGACAAAAATTCAAGGGGCGTTGACGAACAATTAATTAGGCATCGAACTAGGGGAGAGAGAGAGAGAGAGAGAGAGGAAGAATAGTCAAGGAAGCAACTCAGTAGGTACGTACGTATCGCTGCTCGGGGAAGCAAGCTTAGGTTCGAGTTGATGGACCTTACACCGCATCAAAACTTATTTCACTAAATTCTCAGTCTCCTCGTTGGTTTCATGTACATATACATATAGACGCTATTCTTACATATGAGGATACTCAGTCCATAACCTCAGCTTCACCCTCCTCTCCCTCTCCTGCCGCTTCTGCCATGGTCAGCGCACTGTCTCCCCCCTTTTCTTTCTCTGAGGCTCCATCCAGGCTCCTCATCAAGACCATATCATCTTACTCTCACACTCCGTTGATACTCAGCATCCATCGTTTCCACGGCGGTCGTCTGCTTCACAAGCTTTTTTACGTCTTCCTCAAGTTTCTTAGGGTTCCTTCTACTCTGACAGTGTAGAGGCCAGAATTTGAACAGTTCAGGTCGATGGTGAAAGGGACGACGAAGGTGCTGTGCTGATCACCGCCGGCGATGCCTTTTGCCTCGACGAGAGAGAAAACTGGCCTAAATATACTTTTATGATGCTGCAGGCAACTCCCATGAAACAAGCGAACTCAAAAAGACGACCCTTCCAGACATTGATGGGCTTCTATGCATGCGAGTTGACTAGAGAGCGAGAGATTCTGTGTCAGGCCCTGTTCAGGCCCAATTCCAGACAGACCGCGGTCGCGGAGCAATCACTTCTGGAGCTCACCAATGCCCATTAAAAAGCATGATTTCGTGGTGCAAGGCCTGGAAATCGATCGCCTCGTTCTAAGTGACCCGATTGATACGCATCCCGCAAAGGAAAAATTGTTACATTTGGGAAGACAAATAAGAAGGCCGGCCGCTCCTCACCCGGTGGCAAAAGCTCAGCCGTCCTTCCGCCTTCACCCTCTTTCTCCTCCTTGTTTTGCTGGGCCTCGCGAGCAGGACGAAAGGAAAGCACTGGGAAAGAAGTTCAACGCTTCGGCGAGCTGTAGGATGGGGAAATCGCAGATCTGGGTCGCCGCCTTCCTGCTCCTCTGGGCGACCCCGGCGATGGGGGACGACGACGTTGTCGCTCTGTCGGAGAAGAGCTTCGAGGAGGAGGTCGGCAAGGACCGCGGCGCCCTCGTAGAGTTCTACGCCCCATGGTAGCCAGCCCTGCTGCCTTCCCTCGCCATCGTTTTTCGCTGTAAACCCATTCTTTCTGCCTGGGAACGGGGTGCTCTGAAAAGCCCCGGAGGATCGCATCAGATGGGCAACATCTCCTCGCATGGATGATTCCATGCCTTATCCTCTCCCTTGGGTTCTCCTCGCTCGGATCTCGCTGTCATATCCTTTCTTGATAGGTTTCCTGGGTGCGCGCAGGTGCGGCCATTGCAAGAAGCTCGCCCCGGAGTACGAGAAGCTGGGTTCAAGCTTCAAGAAAGCTAAATCCATTCTGATTGGAAAGGTAGCTCCATGTCGATCTGCAACGCCTTCTCCTCATAACCCATGAAATATATGCTATTTATTTGCATCCGATCCGTCAGAATATATATGTACTTATATAATTCGATACCGGCAGTCATTGTGACCTGAATGCCTGACACACATGAATGTATGCCCATCTATAAGTTACTGTATTGTGATCTTAACAAGGTTAGGAGGTGGGCTCCTAACATGGATAGGTGGGCTCCTATCCATGCACATTCATAACACATATGAATGCATGCCCATCTATAGGTTACTGTATTGTGATCTTAACAAGGTTAGGAGGTGGGCTCCTATCCTTTTCTTCATGTTCTTGATGCACAATTTCATGTACATAACAATTAATGTTCTTAATGGAGTATTGGGAAAACATCTCATGACATTTAAAAGGAGTTGACATCTGAATAATCAGCATCCAAGGAAGAAAAAATCCCCAGTCCCAAATATTTTGCTCACAGGATTAGACTGTTCTACCGCTGACTTTTTCTTTTTCACTCTGGCATTGCGTAGGTTGACTGCGACGAGCATAAGAGCATATGCACCAAATACGGAGTGTCAGGATACCCGACGATTCAGTGGTTCCCCAAGGGGTCTCTGGAGCCGAAAAAGTGGGTACTTTATCATATTCTCATGAATTTTCCCTTCAAAAATTTATCCACGGGGCCAAATGGGCTTGGGAGGGGGAAAGGTCGCATCTTTGGTTTTGTGAGTGCATGAGAAGCCCAGAGGCTGACCATCTGCTGCTGTTCATGTGAAGGTATGAAGGCTCACGCACGGCTGAAGCCCTTGCCGAGTTTGTCAACGCCCAAGGAGGTAAGATCCTGGTCTCATCTCAGATCTGCTGAGGGAGTATTTCTGGGATATGACTGTTGGACATGAACTGAAGAGTTATTGAACAGCCCATGGTTGACTAACACTGTTACTTAGGGAAATATTTTCTAAATACTTTGATTTAATCCTAATCTTCCTTCACCTACACCCTTCACTGATTTCTGATTTATTTTTTATCCTATAAATAATGTCTAATTTCTTTGATGAGGTGGCCTATGTTCTCCGAATGGCAGGCACAAACGTGAAGCTAGCAACGGCTCCGTCCAGTGTCGTGGTGCTGACAGCGGAGAGCTTTGATCGGGTTGTCTTGGATGAGTCGAAGGATGTTCTTGTTGAGTTCTATGCTCCATGGTGAGGATGTTCTTCTTCTTCTTCTTCTTCTTCTTCTTCTTGATAGATGGAGAAGACTGACCATGATGCTCGTCTTCTTTTCCGCTTATGGCAGGTGTGGCCACTGCAAGAGCCTAGCTCCTGTAAGCATGCGGTGCACCGATGATCATCTAAGTTCGTGCACATGCAAGCTCTGTGTTTTCTGATGGTTTTCGATTTTCTTCCTCTTGCAGATTTATGAGAAACTCGCCAGCGCCTACAAGCTGGAGGAAGATGTCGTGATTGCCAATGTTGATGCTGACAAATACAAGGGTTTGGCAGAAAAGTGAGTCTAATTTATTTGTTTTTCTCAGATAATTCTGCTTCCTTTACCCCATGTGATCTCCACACGCCTAGGTGTGATGGGAATGAGCCGTGGTTTTTTTTTCTTTCTCTCTCTCTCTCTCTCTCTCTCTCTAGAGACCCAACTAGTTCAAGTACTAGAAAACTTCCTTTAGGGATTCTCAAAAGTCGCCAGTTTTGCATAAATAAGTTAAAAAAAAACTAGGATCAGTAATAAATTGGAAGTTAGTCAACTGCTAGTGAATATATCTCTAATGATCAGACCCATCTACAATGGAAAACCATGATAATCCACTCTCTGCTCTCGGGATCTTGATATCTGCCTGAAATGATGGGACAAGTCATTCCAATCGATGTGTGCTTGTCCCTGAATTCTGGTTTTAGATTAGATAATCCATGTTTGGGTGACTGTTCATATGAGAAAAAGATGCAGCCATTTCATGTGCTATCTATCATATGTTGTGATAAACTAATCTGAATTTCAAGATAAAATGAAGACTATGATGATAATACTAATAATAAATCACGTTGCTGCAGGTATGGAGTGGGGGGTTACCCTACCTTGAAGTTCTTCCCGAAGAACAACAAAGCTGGTGACGATTACAATGGTGGCAGAGATCTAGATGATTTTGTGGCCTTCATCAATGAGAAGTCTGGCACCAGCAGAGACACAAAAGGCCAACTCACTTCCAAAGTTAGTATCCGATGATGAGATAAATTGGGTTACATCTATATGTTCCATATTTGTAGTGACATCATCCTTACCTGCGTGGCTCCCAGGCTGGCATTGTGGAAAACCTGAGTGAGTTGGTTAAGGAGTTTATAAGTGCTGGCGAAGACGAGAAGAAGGCAGTCTTATCCAGGATTGAAGAGGAAGCTGAGAAGCTGAAAGGCTCCTCAGCCAGGTGATTCCTTGAAGAAAATCCTAATGGATAGGATCATGTTCTTCATCTTTTTTTTTTTCTTTTTTTTTCTTCCCCCGATTTTGATCATAAGAATGGAGAAGTTGAGATTTTTTGCTGCCTCATGATGCTGACTTAGTTTGGCCATTTTAGGTATGGTAAGGTGTATCTGAAGGCTGCAAAGAGCACTGTGGAGAAAGGAGCTGATTATGCCAAGAAAGAAATCGACCGGCTGCAAAGAATGTTGGAAAAGGTAAGACCTCCGTGAGATATGGTATCATGCGACTTTGGTGATATTTAATTGGACTAAGACATTTATGTGTTGTTGGTTGCAGTCAATCAACCCGACAAAAGCGGATGAGTTCACCATCAAGAAGAACATCCTGTCAACTTTTGTTGCCTAATTAATTGCATGAGTGCCATGTGGGTTTTTGGCAAGAGATTCGGCCTGATGCCTGGAATAGAAAAAAAACATAGGTTTCAGCGGAAATTACACAACTGAGTTTCAACCATGTATGTTGCAATGGGATAATTGAGGCCTTCTGCCTTTCTTTCATCTTTCCCTAAAAGGTAATATGAGCATATGATGAATGGTGGTGGCTTGACAAATAATTTAAGTAGACTCAACAGAACGTCCCATATATCCCTTCTAAGATCAGATGGATCCCCGTGTGCTTTTACAATTGATTTAAAGGAAATGTCTAGCCCCTGAACCAGTTTCTAATCGGGGTAAGAGCAGATTCAGTAAGGCTTCCAATTCGGAGTCTGATTGAGACATGATTCATATACTGTGTCTGATTTGGCTATCTTTTTACTCTATCAGCATCTTCTCTTCTTGTCTCCGCAGGGCACGTAAAATGATGTTTGACCAAGAAAGTCATAGTCTCGAGATTCTAAGAAATCGGAAGGTCACCGGGGTGAAGTAGGAATTCTAGGCTCAAGTCATTTATCCGACCAAAATCACAGTGGAAGGAAGCCACTTGGTCTCTTTCCCACTGCAAGTCCGCCCCCCAACCCCACACCGTGTCGCACTGTAAAAACCGACTTAGAAAAAAAAAAAAACCATAATAAGAACAGTCACAGGAGATCTGAATTTCAAAAAAATTTCCCATTAGCCCCAAAGTTAGATATGTGCAAACAAATATTATTTACATGTGATTGCCGGGCAGAATAAAAGAGAATAAAGTTAAAGGGGTATTGTGATTTTTGTTCTACTGTTCTACTTAACATACAGCATAAGTTATGGACCCTGAGAATAAAAGAGAACCTGGGTTACAATCATCTGGCTCAACTTTTGGGATCACCTCCAACATCATCCAGAATTTTGGGAGGCTTCTTACGGCTCCTTGTCTTGCATTTCTGAGAAACCTGCATGTTTATTGATCAGTAAAAGAAGTAAAGCAAAGATCTGGGGTATATACAATGTAGTGAAATACTAACGACGTGAGATCTCCAGTCACCCTCGTGCTTCATGTCTTTAGCATCCGTTAAATGTTGCTGAGAACGGACATGATGGAATATATGAACGAGGACAGCAGCATCAAGGGCCGCATATTCCACCTGCATGTTATCAGAACAGAAATTCTGAAGCATTGGGTTTTTGTAACAGAAATTTGCATGTAATTTTTTGTCTATGTAATTTTCCATCAACTTGGCTGTCAAATAAATGTAATCAATAAAGCTTTCATTCCCAGGGAGAATCATAAAATCTGAGTCAATTCCGAAGCCAGACATATATAATCATGTACATCCATAGCCAGACTAAAGCGATGCATTTTACATCCATAGGAACTATGTATTTACATATATAATCATTTACAAGAACTTTTACACCGTTAAAAGAAGGATAAAATAGGATAATGTATTCCAAAATGATAAGAGAATCACGTACTTGATTCTGACTCAATGGTCGTTGTTCCCAGTTGCTGTTTCGTCTTGTCTTGTTTAAGGCAGCCCCTAAAATTTTCTGTTGAAATAAATTAATCCAGGAGGTTAACTCCGTAAATAGACTAAACATAAAATCTTTATAAAGATGTAAAAGAAGAGAAGCTAAATCTGGATGTCACTGTATTCTAAGTACCTCAGCTACCCCGGAAAGACCACCATGAGGCTCTTTGAATAGCTTTTGAATGTCAAGTACCATTTCATATGACCTGAAGCACTCCAGGTCTCCATAAGAATGCGACAGTTGACGAATATCAGATTGAAAGTTATAACCTACATTACATAGGACAGAAATAATTAAATCATGCATCATCGTTCCTAGTAGAGACATGATATACTTGTCTGTAAATATATTTAGGCATACGGTCCCGGAAAAAAATTCTGATTGTGACATACCAAGCTTTAGAATTTCTGGGGAATGAAATACAGCTTTCAAACACTCGTCTAGCTCCTTCATCTCACCTTCATACAGCTTTAACAAATCAAAAATAAAAACTCTCTTCCCAGAAGCAATCTGCATGATAGAGACCTGCATCACAGCAGACTTTAAGTAGCCAGTCGACAGGAAAGCGAAAATATGTTTTCCTCCCGATGTCTAAATGTATTTTTATACATACGAGTAATATTGAGGTTTATTATCGTGCAACTTTGTAGAGAACAACATTCCTTTTGCAATATGGCATGGGCAAGAGGAAGACATTTTACAACCTTAAAAGGAAATATGTTATGTAAACATCATTTAAGAGAGGAAAAGAGAAAGAGAGCGAGAGAGAGAGAAAGAGAGAGAGAGAGAGAGAGAGAGAGAGAGAGAGAGAGAGAGAGAGAGAGAGAGAGAGAGAGAGAGAGAGAGAGAGAGAGAGAGAGAGAAAGAGAGAGAAACTACTGGCGAAGTATTGAGATGAATTTATCAGGTGGACTTCACCATATATTTTCTTTATCTAATTTGGCATGAAAACCAGCAGGGCTATTGGATCTGTGCACATTCCCAAACCGTTATTTATTCTACTATGCAAATAAAAGCTGGTGATTTATTGTATCTTAGGCATTCAAAAGGTTTCCCTGTTGTAAATCTTTATAATCTTTGAGTTGCGCATCATATCCTTACAAAAAAAAATACAGCTTGTACAAGAAGTACATGTCTCCATTTTCTACAAAAGAACGGCTCGAACACATTACGAAAGAAAAAAATTGATGCATCATACGTGCAAACCAATATCATGAACATTAAGGTTAAGGATTACCTTGCTTGGCTTGCTTCCCTTTTCATAATTTGGTTTCCATTCGCAGTCTATGCCAACAACTCTACAATCCTTGATATGGCTTGTGGCACCATGTAGCCCTTCAATATCATCCACCCATGAAATGCCATCCAAAATAAACTCCTTAACATCCAAATAGCGAGACTTCAGAGGACCTGCTACAGGCACTGCTCATGTAGATGCGTGCCCATGAGAATAAAAATATAAAATCAACCCATGAATTTACCTCAAATGTAAAGATCCCAAAAGAAAATAATTTATTTTCAGGAATATAGCCGCTTAAGACGGATAACAGACTATAAAGTCATACTTCAACTGAGAATAATTTCCAAAATCTCTGTATACAGATATTGGCCTCAGATATGATGCAAACGTACAAGGGAGGGCTGTGCAAATAAGACACCAACATCTACTCAGCAGCCAACAGTAGCCACAAAGTTATCAGTGTCTCGCTGTATACACCACGTGAGTCCCAGCATATCAAGTGTTCCCAGAATTAAATGATGATTGTAAGTCTCGCAACAATTACCAACTGAATTTTTTTCTCTCGAATCATTATGTGCAAAATTGAAGAATGGAGAAAAATTGATGCAAACATCCAAAATAAGAATTAATTTTCATGGGGAATGGAGAAAAACTGATGCGCAGACCTGTCTCTCTAATGAAAAAACTGAGTGAGTGGCGCTCACATAATTCATCCACTTTCTCGAAGTAACCAGATTCCATAGCCAAATGTGCCTTCATAGAAAGAAAAGATATAAGCGGCTAATAAAGACTTATCAGTTCCATTACTTCATAAGCAAGCAAAGGAGTATATATGAAAACTCCACATAAAAAGGACGATGAAAGATGTAGTCTATAAAGTCCCAACACTCGAATGTCATAGGAAATAGTTGACAGTTTTTTATACCTTATAAAAAACAAAGAACCAACAAATTTGAAAAAAAAAATGATGACTAAGATTTTACCAGGTATTCTAGAAGTTGCCTCTCATTGTTAGTCTTAATCTCAGCAACGTCCCAGCAACCTTTTTCAGCTAGCTTCTTCAAAGAGCTGTACACGTACGATTTTTTTGTGAACAGTTTAGCCAGATCAATGTGCTCATGAAAACTACAGATCAATGATGATAAAAAGACTGCTCTGCAGTTACCTTTGTTTATACAAATGATGAACATCTGGAAACTCTTGCCTGAGATCATTTTTCTTAATCATAATATATGCCTGCTTTATCATTTTCATATCCACATACTTCTGGACAAGTACACAGGTAATTGATTTACCCATAAGAGTAGCCCATTTCTCCGCAGCACTAAACTGATTTTCTTGCATCAGTCTATCAAGAAAGGACTCAGAAGAAAAGCCAGACTGATAAACCGAAAAACGTTCCAAGAGGGTTACAGCAGTCATATAGGATTGGGATTCTACAAAGCTAGTTACATAATTTCCGATTTGCGACTTTGCCATCTCTAAGCAAACATCATTTAACTCTGAGCCATACATGGCTTCTGCAATGTCTTTTAACTCGATATTAAAAACTTCAAGCACCTTCAAAAGTATCCCCTCCTCATGAGTGACAGGGCCAGACAGGATGTCAAGAAACAGCTGAGCAGCGAGGCGCTTTGCATCAGAAGTATCTGTTTGTATCTTGTCCATAGTTTTCAACCGGCGAAGGGAAGAAATCAATAAATGGCTGAACCCTTCAGTGTACGGAGGTCCCAAAAATGGCAAAATGTAAAGGCAATGAATGACGAAAATAGCTGGTCCTGATTGGGGTGAATTACGCAATGCTTGAAGAACATGTTGTTGAAGAACTCGAAATTTCAGAGTTGCCTTAACTGTGCCTAATTGGATCTTCAGTAAGTTAGCCCCCGTTAAAAACAGTGAATAAATAATGCGCATTAAAAATGGATGCGTAGAACAGACATTCAACTCTGGAGAATGCAATGGCTCCTTAACAAACGACAAGTGCCATGTAAGAAATGTTCCCATGCTTTTCAAGCGGTAGATCATGTGATGGCAGAGAGCATAACAGATTTGTGAACTTGTCATGATAGGAAAATTCAATTTGATCCCAAAAGGATAATGGCATTGACCAATAACAAATCAAGAAGCGCTGTTGAAATGCATCCAGATTCTACTTTGTTGGCAGGATCTCTAAAAGTACTCACCCTCATTGGTCACGTGGTATTGCAGGTCAACACACAAGGTTCATGTTGAAGATCATGGTAAACAAGGACTCCTCTCTCAGGATTCGGAATTTTTAATGGGCATACATAACGCCTACATTGGCCATTTGAAATAGAAGTCGCAGATTAATCTTGACGTATCATCATATTATATTGTTGACACCAGCAAGACCATTTCCTACACGAGAACACATCTTCTGTCACACGCACAAGAGGAAGCAGCAACAGCGCACATTTTCCTGATTGAATGATCATCATCATCATGAAATCAGTCCGCTTTGTCAAAAGGACAATGTTTTCAACAAGAAATGCCTCATGTCGTTATCATCATAACTGATTTATGAGCCCATGTCCTTGACTATTTGGATAAATCTATATGCCAGCTGATAATACGGTATCCAACCAACTATTTGTTTGACAAAAAATCCATCTATCCCGCTTTGCATGCCATGAAATACCTCAACTTAAAGGATAGGACTACCCGTATAAACCTAAGACCGATGCCTAATATCTGAAAGAAATAGAACGCACGTGTCTGCAGAGATGACTTTGTCATTAGATTGGACTTTGACATGACAAGATCGCAGTATAGTAGTGTAAACTCTGAGGGGGGCAAAGCAATGGCAATATGATCACTTTGTTATGTGAATTGGCTAAACGACAATACACAATCACACCTCATTGGTTAAACCCTGGGGGCGCAAAGCAACAGCAGTATGCCACACACCATTCAGCTCCGGACTGCCTCTGACATGGAACATCCACGCACTGAAGCAAGCATTGTGTCCAACTAAGCTGCAGAATTAACTTTCCAGGCTTTTTTCGGCCATCTTTTCTTCATATTTTTTTATACTGTGGACGCAAGTATTCCCAAATCATTTCCAGATTTCTGATTTTCAAAGTGTACAATAAACGTTTATCTTTTTCTATTTTTCCCACTGCATTTGTATTTCAATTATTTTCGAAAATGCCTCAAAATTTTAAGGACGTTAAACTTCAGGAGGGAACTATCTATTAATTTATTATTCAAAGAACTGGAAAGAACTGCGAAGCAGCTTACAATTCCGCACGAGACAGATGTATTTGTTCTGAACCAGTTGATCATACTATAAAACTAAATCAATGAATTCAAACCAAGCAATGATATAATGTCACATGTGAAAACAAAACCAGTTAGACTAGGTGTTTTCTCCTAGGTTTCCTGCATCTCTTGATTCTATTTCAAAGGCGGGAAAATTAGCTATTCTTCATTCGAGGTCCATGCATCATCTGTACCGTGAAAACAACGCTAAATATAGATTTAGTAAAACAACCGTTTATATAAAAATAGAATACATTTTTTTAAATAATATATATCTCAGTTGTAGACAACCCAGCTTGCATCTAGGATTCTCTCCCAAGAGATAGGAACTTACTGCCACGTCCAGGCTAAGCTACCCTAAACTATTTTCTACCAGGTTGCATCTATGCATTTGTTCTTTCTCAGGGCTGTTAGACTGGGACCAAAAGGTAGACACAAAAGAAAATACCTACACATGCATGTGTTAACTCAATAGCTATCCCTTGGTGCCCTTATAGTGACGTTTTTCCCTTACCCTTTTGCAATCCTAAAGTATCTGATTTTTCGTCCACAATTCCTCAAGTTTTCTAATAGTTCAAAGGATGTGAAAAAACTCCCATTGGAATGTAACTTCCATTTGTAGAGAATTGTTTTATGCTGTCAAGGTGAGTATCTGGTAGGCAGTGCTCAAAAAAGGAAATATGCACTGAGAGGGGGAGAGGAATTGACTTGCAACCACAAGGATGCTGCTAGAACTCCACAATGGCAAACCAGCTGTATATGGTGAATGGTAATGGTAGGATCAGGTAAAGAAATCCAGAAAATCTGATAGAAATGGCGGTCAAGAGTTTCTGCAACGCCTTTTGGCAGCCTCTTCAGTAAAATATGTCTGGGAAGACTTCGCATCCGCATTGATCCGGGGGGCGGGGAGGGGAGGGGGGGGAGGGGGTGGAGGGTTTGGGATGAGAGAGACGACAGCATTTTATTGTGATGACAGAAGGGTTTGGGGAAGAATGAGGAAGGAGAGTAAGGGAACAAGCGAGTAATGAGGTTCTTCAAGATTCTTTAACAAGAGAAAGCAAATCAAGGGGTAGGAAGGCACGGTGGGGATCAATCGGGCAGACAAAAAATGTTGTGCCGAGGGTGAGCTACTGATGGCTAGAGTAACAACAAAACTGAATAGCCTGAGGCAAGAACTAGCTCAATCCGGAGGCACAATACATTACTCCCAGAGAAGGAAGTAAACAGCAGATCACCCTACCGGATTGATGAATTTGTCTACATTGGAAGAAGCAAAGGTGCTTGCTTACTGAAAAAGATAAATAACGCAAAGAAACATTGAAAGTAAAGACTAATAGGAAAAGGATTGAGGGACAAATGGGTAAACGGAAGAGAATTAAAGGAAATTCCTATGAAATTCCCTTGGAGAAGAGAGTCGTAGATGCCGTTAATTCCAGACTGTTCAAAGAGAGAGAACTGGAGTGCTTCCTTACTAGATGATATGATGCCCAAGGCTTCAAGGGAGAAGGCCAGGAAGGAAAGAATGCCTTTCAAATATGCTATAATCTTTTTGGTACGTAACAAGCAATAAAGTTATGAAAAATATTAAAGAGGAAAAATTTGGGACTGAAAGCATCCTGAGCGGTATACATTAACCGCACTTACAATCATTAATGAAAATTTCTTTGCTTGGAAAGACAACGCTGGGCCACACCAATTGTTTTGGACTAATGAACTCTCCATACTCAAAAAACTCGGTCAAAAGGTATGCAAGAGATCTATGTTTTGAGTCATCTCAGTCATAGCAATGGATATGTAATAAAACGAAATATGTGCGAAATACTTCCCCGCCTCCCAGGGAATTTTGATCAATTAAGGCGAGAGGCATGGAACAAGTGGGGAAGATGGAGGACATCTAACTAGAATTGTGAGGATTAGTAAAATTATGAGGATTAACACGCGGGATAATAGTATTTCCATCACATACACACTTACATGTGAAAACCTTATACAAGTAGCATCCCTAAAAAGGTGATAAACTGAAACGGCCAAAACAGAATATAGGGGAGTTCATGAATTAGTTCAATAGCTAAAATAAAGTAGATCGAATGTCTTACCACATACATAGGATTCCTTCAAAAGGTACACAAATGTTGCAGGTGAGACGTGAGATAAATCTGAGAAAGCATGCAAATAGATGGCCCTATGCTCATTCCTATTTTCGTCATCATTCTGATCAGTCCTGACTCCTGCACGGCTCATAACTGAGAGATGCAAAGAACACTAGGTAAATACAATAGACAACCAGCAGAGGAACATTCCAGTGGATAAGTAATTCTTCTGTTAGAAAAGGTAAAGCAAATCGTTTAAGGTTGGTCAAAGAAGAAGCCAGCTAAAAAAACAAGCAATGTGATGTGAAGATTAAATGTTTATAATTTTGAGCAGCCAATCTTGGGGAAAATGCTTGCTATTATTTATTATAAAAAAATTAAGGCAAAATACCATTTTGGTGCTTGCGTCAAATGAAATATATGGCATGGCAATAAAAAGCGATAGGAAGTTTCTTCTGAATAATTTTTTATTCTTTTACATTCTAGTAATTAAAGAAAAATCAAGAATAAAATACACAAAGAACCTCCTGTTTCATTCAAGGGAAAGGAGCCTGTGCCGACATTGAGTTTCAAGAATTCAATATATTTTTTAAAACGTTTAAAGCGCATCTCGACTTCCAGCTTCTTATATCCATGAACTCACCATTTTTTTATATCATTTTTCTCGTGAAAAGGTGCCAGTTTGCATATTCAAAAGATAGACAAGACCAACGATAAATATATTTTCACACCCCTTTATAATAAGCTATAAAAGGAATGTCAAGTGAATAAATTTTCCTTCATAATATCCCAATAATTATGAATGAAAGACATACAGAAATGGCCATACCTAGCTGCCTTTTATCTTCATGAACCTAACATACCCATCCTAATTTCCCCTAGGATGTTCTGAAAAATATTTCAAAGTGCAATTGACTCGAGTCCCCTACATTTAAGTCCCAGTGTACAGAATAACACATTTTTGTCGGTAAAAGGTGAATAATGGGAGTTTGAAGCCTTTTAAACAGTCTAATTTCCCTCCTCGAGGCTTGAACCGAGAATCAGCATTTATAAGTGTCATGACGGGTTTTTCTTCTCTTTCCATCAATAGATACATGGAAAATTGTGCTAAAATTACATCCTGCAACTCAGTCTGTGAGGCTATCTGATTCTTTTCATTGACAAGTCATGCTTCGGCACCATGTGCAGTAGTAATGAGTGAGTCAATCCTAGCATGTAGGGACGATCGATTCAATTCTCTCTTGCCTTTGACTTCTAACATCTGCTGGTTTTTCTGTCAACTGTGTGCCGAAGCTTCGGTCATGTATGATATTTTTGGAGAGCGGGGAAAGCTAATTTCCGAACTCTATTTTTCACAATAAGGATGTCCATGAGAGTCTTCCCTCCATGCTTCAACGAAGGATGGAAACTTCCGTGAGATCAGGGAAATACTGGAGCCAGAAACATTGGAAGCCGTTACAACATGGCCGGCGATGTTTGGGATGCTTCGACAAAGTGATATCCCCGCCACCGGTGCAGCAGCAGCATCGATCACAAGTCATTTCTTAACCGACAATTCCAAGTAGAGAACTCTGGGAATAGCGGGGAAACCAGCCAGGAGGCAAGGCCACCACAACAAAAATAAACGAACAATTGAACAGGAGAGGAGGCGGAGGCCCAGGAGGAGGAGGAGAGGATCGAGCGACAAACCTCGATGGAGACGAAAGCGGCGGGATGAAACAGTTCTCCTCCACGGACCAGGAGGGGACGGGGGCGCGAAAAACTCTGCAACTGGTGGAAAGGAGGGGGATGCTCTCGAAGCAGACTTCATTTCATATTTCAGTTACAAGAAAACTCTGCAACATCCCCCCCTCCTCCCCTTTTCCCGCCCTCCGGAACTCTCTCTCTCTCCCCTCTCTCTCGCTCTCATCTCATATTTCGGTTTAAATTTTCTGAACTTTTTATATTTATCTCTCACTCTCTCATATTTCCGTTTTAAAAATTCTGAATTTCGTAATATTCATCTCTCTCACTCATATTCCAGTTAAAAATTCCTGAATTTGTATATTTATATAAAAAATACGCTTAACATATAATAAGGTAATGTTCGTATATGTGTGGGCCGAAAATTCCTCGAGAGCTGCCTCAGCCGGTGGCTCCGCCGAGTCGCCGTTGCATCTGTTCTCCATCTCAAAGGAGAGCCCAAAGATCAACAGATGATGGTATTGCTCAGAGATCCAGAGAGATAGAGACCCAGAGGTAGAGAAAGAGAGAGAGAGAGAGAGACCCAGAGTAAAAGAGAGAGAAACCCAGAGGTAGAGAGAGAGAGAAAAACCCAGAGGGAGGGAGAGAGAGAAACCCAGAGGGAGGGAGAGAGAGAGAGAGAGAGAGAGAGAGAGAGAGAGAGAGAGAGAGAGAGAGGAGAGGAGATTCTCTCTCTCATATTTCCGATTAAAAACTTTTGAATTTCGTAAATTCCACGAAAATTTGTGGAAAATTTTCACGAATCACTCCGACCCAGATCCGAAAAACCAGAAAATAACAAGATGCAGCAATGTATATCGGTGATTTTATTCATCAATAAAAAAGATAAAAATAATGCAGCTACAATAAATGGCACAAGTGGGGCCATAATCATAAAGTAAAAGAGTTCCCAGAGCAGATTCTCCGCCAATGGGGGAGGAAAAATGAGGAACCGCACGCTCTCCAAAGCAAAACCTCTCGAGTTCTTCTTAATCAGCTGCATGCGAGTATGATCATTCCCCAGATGCTCAAATCTCAAGCCCTGCTTTCTGCCCTAAATCTTGGGGAGATCTACAACCATGGAAATCCACAGCACTCTGTCATCCGCAAGTTCCAAACTTTTTCAACCCAACACAAAAGATATAAATACTCGCAGATAAAATATATGAGATATCGAGCTAAATACCATAATTGGAAATATGGGTATAAATAGTTCTGCTGACCCCAATATGTCAACGGCCCAATAGCAGTCAATTATCCAAAAACTCTTGCGAAAAATCCCCTCCTCTTTGACTCCTTCCCCTTTCATTTTTTTTCTATTTTGGTCCATTTAATGGATGGTATTAAATGGGAGAAGAATGTAATCGAGAAACAGGGATGTATGGAAAAAAAAAAAAGGATTTAAAGAATGCAAGTCAACTGCACATACCGAGCTTCGGTCAATGATCAAGTCAAGACTGAACATGGTCCTTTGCAGATTCCAGTGCTCCGAGGCTGCCCCCTTCGCTGTATGGCCAGAGGTTCACGTTGCCTCTAGACCCCAACAGTGACCTGCTGCTGCTTCCATCTCTTCCATTCATATGGCCAGAGGCGCAGATCGCGTTGCCATGCTGCTCCATCTCGGAGCCGAAGGCATCGTCCTCTGTGCAAGAGGGCTGGTTCACAGGGTTTCTAGCGAGTCCTTCAGGGGTCCTCCTGCTTCTGTCGTTGAAAAGCATAAACCGTATCCGCTGATGAATCGAGCGTCTCCCAAGCAGGGTCGACGCCATGATACCTGAAGCTCGCGAAGGCGTTCCAGGATCCATGCCCGGCGATGGTCGCCCATCGGATGACCAATATGCAGCTCCTTCAGAGGGAATCTGGCATGTCAGAGCAGCCAGCTGCTGGGGCGGCTCTTGCGGCGCGCTCACTGAAGTGTTGCCCCAGCAAGGTTCACCGCTAGAACCGTGGTCGACGAAAGATGCCTGAGCTCGATAATTGGATGGCGCTGGATCTGTGGACCTACACCCATTACAGTACCAGTTGCCTTCTGGGACTTCCCTCCCCAGCCCAACACAGTATGTATGTGCAGGGGAATCACATAGATCACAGAGCAGCATGAGGTTATCGTCGCCTCCCTGTTGGCATTCCACGCACACTACATTTGCATATGGATCTAGAAATCCTCTTATTTCTTCTTCGGAAGGTTGGTAAACCTGCAGGGATGATTTGGCTCAGAGAGAACGTTTGAAGAAGTGTAGATATCTACATAATTAGTAGAGATACAGAGAAATATCATGTTTAGAGAGAGAAGGAGTTGAGGTCTAAACATTGTTTCAGAAACTCGCATGCAAGAGATGATCAAAACAGCTAAAACTTTAATTCAATGTTTCTGTTTTTTAAAGCAAAGATCTCGGGTGGTAGGTAAAGAAACTATTGATATTTGCGATTTAAGGAGCACGAGCGATAAAATTTCCGATGATAAATGTCTTCTTCTTTCAAAGATCAAGGATCGCAACTATTGATGGCAGAAAAATAAGAGACTACTTGATACTTAAATTTCCATAAAAGAGGATAAGTTAACAATCCAACAGATAAACCATTCTATAGAGTAAAAATTTCCTAGTAATGTCGAAAATGTTCCTAGTAATGGCCACTAGTGAGAATTTCCTCTATCACATGGATGTGAAAAAGAAGAAGAAGAAGAAGACAAAACTTGGACACTATAGCAGCAGGAAGGTACAGCTTCATTGACATTGATGCAAACCATTAGATATGATTGTGGCCCGTTCTCAATTGGAGGATGGCTGTGTAAATAGCCCCTGGCTACCGATAATATATCAGCGCACAGAATTATAGCAAAGGTATACAGATAACAACTCTGTGAGGCTTAACTATGTAATTCCAAAAAACGAAAGAGCGCACAAAAGGAAACTATATCGAGATACCCCGGGTGAACACCAAGCAAGGATCCGAGCCTTTCAAAAAACAGTCGATCAATCACCAAAAAGGGAAACAAACAGTAAAGTCCCAGTGAGCAACACTTTCAATTTCAGGAAGATGGTGTGCGTTAGTTGTCAAAGGGAGATCATTTTGGTGTGCCCCAAAACTTCAACAGGTGACATTATGGTCTTACGAACTCATTTACAGATTATATTACATACATATATCTATATATATATATATATATATATATATATATATGTATGTGCTGTCAAAGAGTAACTCGAAGTGGCCATACTAGCAAGGATCTAAAAGGAAAGGAACACCGGACACATTGTCAGGAAGAGACCATACTTAAGTGTCGCAATGCATCTTTCACTTCAAAAATGTGCAATATGACTAACAACAGTATGATATGTGTCTTCCTACCATCTCTCGAGTCAACAGGGAAACTTTCAGCCCCGATTTCAACAACGATATTGGTGCATCTTCATTCAGAATTGATGGGAGAAAAAAACACAATTGAAGATAATAATTACCCAAGCTTCATTGCCTGGCTATATATCAAGGAAGGAGAAGACAAAGAAATTACTCCCTCTGGTTATTACCTTTCTGGGAGGATATGTGGCGTAATCTGGTAGACATAGACAATTGCCATTTGCATCAGGCGGAAAGACTATCAGAGGGTAAGGACATCACCTACCAAAGTGAGATGAAACAGCAAATATCTTTGGCCTGAGGAAAGGGAAGCCCTCAAGCCATAGCTTCACAAGAGGAGAAGACGCTGTTCCTTTGGTAGATTTTAAAGAATGCCAAAGAAGAGACAATATATACTCCAGTGGTCAAGGGAAAAGGCTCAACTTCCAAAACAAATCCGAAAGAGATTAGTCCTTTGTTTCAAAGACATCAAACATTCTACACCAGAGGAACCACCTACAGGATTATCCACTACCCACAACAGTCAACTCAAGACCAATTCTGTTCCAGGTCAGAGTTCTCTAGTTTTACCTCATCATCATATTAGTCTAAAACAAGCAATATTCTATAGGGAAAACAAGAAAAACGTCCAAAGAAGGGTCATCTGCAACCGTGTCCTTGCACAGTGGTCACTACTCTCCAATTCAGTCAATGAAGATGATCACCAACCATAATCTCGTAGAACGGAGTGAATACACAAATAGCTGATGAAAGAATTAAGAGAAACGACTTTTCTAAGGCTCCATTTCCGTCACACTCATAGAGTTGTGGAGGCGGCCAAGATACATATCATCAGCAGTTAGCGGTTAGGGCCATTGGGGTGGACCCAGACTGACCAACTGGTTGGATTGAGATAGGCGCAGGATTTAGTGAAATCGGAGGAGTAGGCTGAGGTGGAGAAGATGGAGGGATTTACTAGGAAGAGACAGGAACAGGAGGAGCCTGTTGAGGAGAAAAACATTTTTGACTAAAGTTAGAGAGGACTATGGAAAAATCCAAACCCAAGTACGTATTTCCTAAATCTGGAGGTCTTCGTCGGAGAATATCAAAGCATGGAGTTGTAAAGATGCCAAAAATAGTCAGCATGTGAAACATCAGATGAAACAACGGGGGAAAAAACACCTGATCTCTCTTGGGGATCTTAACGACGGTCGTCCTCAAACTGAACCCAGCATCCGACCTTACTGACTTGCTAACAGTCTTGAATCGCCTTTTGCACACGGGGCATCTGGACTCCACCTTTGACCACTCCATGATGCAAGCAAAGCAGAAAAAATGAGAGCAACAATCCAGCAGTCCCCGGGTGGCCTCCTTTTTCTCCTCCGACAAGCAGATTCCGCAAATCTGCGCCAAATCATCAAGCTCTTTCCCTTTCCCTTTCTTTTGACCATGGACCCCAGATGACAGGGGTCTTCGCTCCCAATCCAAAGGCCCCTCTGCTTGCAGATCCCCCAGTTCCTCCTCGTCGATCTTGAAATCAACGTCAGACGAGTCTGAATCGGACGAATCAGAATGAATCACCCGCGACTTCCGCCGTCTCTGACGACATATCCGCGCCCTTTTATTTTTCATCTGCTCGCCATCTTCCTGGACCTTATCCTCGACAACAAGGTCGTCGTCATCAGAGATCACAACAATCCGCATATTTCTCTTTCTCGCCGGCGCCTTCTTTCTCTTATCATTCACGTTGTAGTTCCAATTCCCGGGCCTAGTTTTGTTCTGCTGCTGCTTCTTTAGTGGTCCACTCTTTCCGCCACCGGCCTTCCTGACGGGAGATTTCACCAACTCTTCCTCCTCCTCCTCCTCCTCATCAGGCGCAAAATCCTCATCGTCGTCATCCTCGGACTCCTCTTCCTCTTCTGGAAAAACTGCAGACCTCTGCCGGGGAACGGGCCGGGCTTTCCTCGCCGGAGGAGTCTCCATCTCGCTCTCCTCCTCGGGAACAAAAGACACCTTCGAATTTCGGTCCTCCCTCGGTCCCCTTTTGACCCGCGAGTTTCTCAGGACCAGTCGCCGGCATCTTCCTCCCGCGGCCCCGACCTCCTCCACGTCTTCTGGTTCAAGCTCTTCTTCCTCTTCCTCTGAACAACTGGCGCCGTTAATGGTGTCCACAGAGGCCTCCCTCGAGGCGTCAGACGAGTAGGAATCGTACGAGCTCTCTCCCTCCTCGTCCAATCCCACAACGTACTCCTCGTCAGATGGGTCGTCGGAGCCACTGCCGCCCCTCGCCAACCCCCTCCTCCTCCCCCTCCTCCACCCACCGCCTTCACCTCCGCCTCCCCCTCTTCTCTGAATCTTCCCACAGCACGCCTTGTTCTGCGCCATGAACAGCCTTCCTTCCTCGCGATGGTTACGGAACCAATCCAGACTAATCTTCCATCGATGGCTCCCGCCGCCGCATCTGAGTAGCCAGCCGCCCAGCAGATCACAGTTCCTTCCTTTCCCCTCCCCTCTCTCTCTCTTTTCCCTTCCCTTGAACAGGAACACGGCAACCAGGAGAAGCTTCGATTTGGCCCCCGCCCGGATATCGACCAAGGAAGAGTCAGAGAGAGAGAGAGAGAGAGAGAGGAAGGAGGAAGCGGGTTCGGTTTTATCCCGTGGGCGGTGACCCCATCCCAGCTTTGTTAGTGATTTACCAAACTACCCCTACGCATCGACTTCTGTTGGCTGACTGACGTTACAAAGAGCCATCGCCGATATCGCGGAAACCGATACCATATTCGGATCCAATAAATGGTCATGACCGATCCGCTGTGTGTCCATTATGTGTGTGCCTAAATGGTTCCCTATAAACTCTCCCTGTCCGCTCTTGGAATATTTTAGGTTTATTTCAAAATATCTGATTTAAAATTATAATTATTTCCAACCGAAGTCCCACCCTCTTTGATGTCTCAATGGAGGGTAAGATCATATTCCTTAAAATGTCTCATTAATGACGTCAAAAATGGTATAACATTTTTCCCATAATTATAGTTTTTATTGATGCCTTGGCCTTTTTCTCTTTCTTCACATCACTAGACTCAAATCAGCCCTTAAGAATAAGCGCCTCTATCCAAAAAATCACTTATTAATTATCATAATTATTTTTTAAAACGAACAAATGGCACCTTTTTTAATATGAGATTAAATTAATGATTAAGGGATGCTGATCATGGAAATTAAAGCTCCATCTATGCCCATGTTCCTACTTGGTCTTAATAGTAAATGGCAAGCTTGCAAATATTTCTTAATTTGGTACTTTTGAAAATAATTTTGAGGAAAATGGATTCAATAACGATCATATTGAAAAGTTATATCTGTACAGAAAAGGAAGAACACCAAGAAAATAATAGGTAAGTTCATACATATATCATCTCCAAAAATCCAATACACGAAGAGGATGTTCATGCAAATATGGTCATGATCAAATGATTTGATCCATTTGTTTAGTATACCCCTCAAAGAATTATGACCCAATAATGTTCTCAAATGCACCCCAAAGATCGAAGATCAAAGATTGGATTTTTGATATATTACTTGAAGCTGGGCAAAGTCAAAGCATGATATTTCATGGATTTACCCATGTTTAGAAAGTCAAAGAAGGAAAAACCTGAAAGTGTTAGAAGCTTATAGTTTCTCGAATGGTAGATTGAGGCTTAAGCAAAATAGGTCTCACCTTCCCTTGTGCAATAGAACAAATAGACTCCATGTGTGAATGATATCGCTAATATTTTCTAATATCGGAACTAAATAAACCGTAAGTCTTGATAAGATTAAATAAAATGTATGAGCTTTCGACGGCCACATCAATGCTTAACCAAGTGTCATATTCAGTCACATGCTCCTAGATTATCTGCCATTTTATTTTTGATGTTGACCCAATAAATTATGTCATTAATAGTATAATTATGAGTTGGGTTTTTTTTTTTACCAGGCCCTATATTTACTCTTCCGTATTTATTTAATTTCGGCATAATAAATTCAGTATCAAGTTTTTTTTTTTTATTCATCCGTTTGAAAACCCATGAAAAAAAAGAGAACTTGGGGGACCGGGGGTTGCAGATAATGATGTATAGAGTGTGCATGAACCAAGTTCAAATGGGATGGGAACTCAAAACCCAGACAGGTTTCACGAGGAAGGCGAAGTCTTGCTCCCCGGGAGCTCGCCGGAGGGCCGGTGAGTCTGCGGATCCGAGGGGAAAATCCCGGCGCCGCCGCCCTGCGACGGGAAGCGAGGGGCGGTGGCCAGCGGGACCCGCCGTCGCGTATCGTGTTCTTCCTCGTCGCGGGGACCCATCCTCTGCGCTTGCAGCACCGTCAGGTACAGGCCGGCGGCGAGGAAGACGGTCATCAGCGCGAAGACTCCGGCGGCGGCGAACAGCCCCTGCCGGACGACGAGACAGCTCCGCCGCGGCTTTCTCCACTCGCCCAGATGGGCCGACTCGGCGCTGACTCCGACCATCAGCGCCACCTCCGCGACGGCGAAGCTCAACCTGTGTCTCCCATGGCCGCAGGCCCTCTTCTTCTCAGGCGAGAATTCTCAGAAGTTTCTCGAGGGTTCAGAGAGGGAAGGAGGGCATACCAGGTCGCGAGGAAGAAGAAGCAGGCTTGCCGCGTGAGCTGCCTGGGGATCGGAGAACTGCGAGGAGAGGCGGCGATCAGAATGTAGACCTGAGCGGTGAACATGCCCACTGCGAGAGCCATGAACGCCGCCACCCCGCAGGCGAGGGGGGTCTTTCCGCTGCCGGTGTAGAGGCACCGGGTCTCCTTCCCGCCGGCTGCGCCGGCGGCGGCGAGGGACAACCAGACGGCCTGCAACAGTCGCTCCGAGGTCATTATCGATGGAGGGAGGGAGAAGGAGGGAGGAGCTGGTTACAAGCAGAGAAGGAGACTTACCTCGGACCTGGTGGCCTCAGCGGCGAGGGATAGGATGAAGCTGAGGAGCCCGCAGAGGACGCAGAAGACGATGAGAGAGAGGCCCCTCGCACCGGCGGCGGCGCCGTCGTCGTCGCTCCGCTGCCGGACGGTGAGGTCGTCGTGCGTGACGGCCATCGCCGTCTTGCTCCGCCGTGGAGATGGACGACGGAGGAGGGATTATTATGGGCGGCGCTTGCAGGAGGAAGTGGAGGAGAATCGCTTGCAGGAGAGGAAGTGGGGGGAGGGCGGGTCTTGCGTGATGGGCCCGAGATTCCGGGAGCTCTCTAGTGGCGCCTCCGTCAAGCTCGCTAACTCCACCGCCGATGCCTCGCCGGCGGTGGCGGTCTTCTTTTTGTTCTCTTCTGATGGGTTTTTTGAATGCAGACGGTGACCAGTCACGGAGGCCCGCAAGCTCTTTTTTTTAACGTTACCTTCCTCTCTCTCTCTCTCTCTCGCTAGCTAGGAGGGAGGGGAGGTGGATGTCTTCTTCGAATCCGGATGTCTTCGAGGGGATAGAGGGGATTCGGCAGAGGAGAATGCGTGGCTGCCGCCGCCCGTCGGCCGCCGAGTCAGCGGCAGCGCTACACCGCAAATGACCCAGTCGGCAGTTTCCCTGCCGGTTGGGGAAAATCCTCTGCGCGCAGGCCGCCTCGACAAGGAAAAGTACGGACAGCCCAGAAGGTATGTCTTGTCCTCTGTACATTCTCCCGTCTTCTGAGCAACTCTCTCTCTCTCTCTCTCTCTCTCTCTCTTTCTCCAATCCAGCGGCGGGAGAAGCGGGCAATCTTGAAAAATAATAACCCATCTTCCTCCTCAAGAGCCGACGCCCTCTCTCTCTCTCTCTATCTCTCTGTGCAATGAGAAGAAGATCCCCATCCAAAGGCTAGTCGATCTGGGGGGTCCGACTACCTTACCATAAGAAATATATGTCCCCATTTACATAATACACCAGCTGTTCTATCTGCGCCGGGCTCACCGCGGCGCACCGACCAGCTTATAAACACGGCGCGGCCCGTCGACGGCACCCGGCCCGCCGGCAGCAGGTTCTCCACCGCCGCCCCCTCCATTGTTGCAAGGTTTCCTCGATCCATCTGTCCGCACACCCTCCTCAGGAGCCCTCGCCGAAAATCGCCGACAGCACAAGCCCCCGCACAAACCCCGACCTCCGGGCCTTCTCCTCCTGATCCTTCTCCGACAACGACGGTTCCACGCTGGATAACCAAATAAATATACGTAAATATAAAAGAATTAGTTCAACAATGGAATGGAGACTACTGATGACAAACTAAAATGATTTCCTCAATCCATGAAAAGCCCACCTCAATCGGTGAATAAATGAATATAATAATAATAATTAATAATAATGATAAATTAATCAGACAGCCCAGCTGCCGACATAAATCATTCGGCAGAAATATTTTTTTCTAAGAAATTTAGCAACCAAGCAGATTCATTTTCCCAAGAAAACTGAAATATTTATAATGGATCAACGAATAAACGGAAATAAATGGTTTTATAATGGATTATTAGATCCACCCAGTACAAAAAAAAAAAAAGAAGACAGCACGGATATCACACCCATAAACAGGAATATACTGAATTACTCATCCCCTCCCCCCTGTTGAGTCCCCTTTATAAAAGGAATCCATTGAAGCAACAGGGTTTTCTCTTTCTGGATCGTTTTGAACTGCTTCTGACCATTCAGGTGCATGAACTGTGGCTATGCCACGGTTCATCTCTGCCCCTCCATATGGCCCAAAAAATAGCTAGTAAGAGTACCTTCCACAGATCAAGTTCCGCCGCAGCTGTAGAACAACCATGGAAAATGTTGTAGTAATTATCTTTCCAAATTAGGAATGCTCTACAGCTACCCACAGGAACAGAAGCTACACCCGTTCCCATTACCCCAGAGAGTTTCCCCATTAATGTCAAGGAATTGCACTCTCCTGCTCTTCATGACAACTTACAAAGAATTGGCCCTTTGGAAACATCTATTTTTAGCTAGAGCAGCTCCTGTTTTTCTTGGTCTTCTAGCTCAATCCAGAAAGAACTTCAGTTCCCATATATTCCATTTTGCATCATATGTAGAACCAAACTAGATAGTACGATTCTAGAAATAAGAACACACCCTCCAACTGTGAGTAGTTTTCCCTTCCATCTTTCTACTTTAGAACAAAACTTCTGAATTAATTCTGTCCACCCGTTTTTTTTTCCTTGTTTTTTTTTTCTCCCAAGAGAGACAGTGGGAGACCAAGGTGAGAATGTGCCGACCTTACAATCATTTAATCATCCCATTTTTGCTGAATTCCAGTTCACTAACTCATGTTTTGTCGAAATCAAGCGAGATCTTGAACTATCAATCATCATTTTGAGGCTCGATTTTTCAGCGTATTGCCCACCTTCAAACAAAAATTGTATCATCGTCAAACTTGAGATATGTGAGAGATCTTATTCTGACATCCAGAAACTGCAGCTTTACACAACGGACCTATGATTTGTCCTGCAAGAAGGAAGAGATGTAGTGACAAGGGATCTCCACCACCAGAGTCCATTGAACATTTTCAAAACTCATTTGATTCATCATTAGTAAGTGAGAGAATGGTGCATCAGTTCATCCCATCTCGTTTAAGACCCATCCAGATTAAGTTCTCGAAAATCCAAGACTCCCACACGCTTTCCTTTTCATTTTTTTTATGATGAACTGCTTTACATACAAACATAAAGTTGTATGGAACGAATTATCCAGCTACAGATGCAGATTGAAACTTGTCAACTATTTTATCAATCCCTATTTTAAAATCCCCAGTTCACACCTAGGTGATAATTTTATGACATCTATCTATTCAGGAGACTTCTAGGCCTGAAATCAGCCACCTGCTAGCCTCTTTATTATTCAGGTATCAGAGTAAGAAATGTGGCATTCAAATGCCTGATGCACATGAGCCCTTTCTGAAATTCCTCAAGAACCTCATTGAGATATTCATTCACCATGTCCCACAAATGCTGATAGAAACACATCCAACCACCGGACGTTTTTAGTATATATGCTAAATATGGGCTCTTTGACTTCTAACACAGAAGCGTAATATGAGCATCATTGTATCTTCTTCATTGCTTTCAGGCAGGATGGGCATAACCTGCTATTGTCAGCAATGATCTAATACTAGCTTTTAGTAGCAATGCTGCCAATGTAATTGTTGAAGCAGCGAGAGATGCAGTTAATGCTAGATTGGGCCTAAAAAATGTAATCCACGGTGAAATTAATTTAAAGATATGAGAATAGATAGGCACACGAACGAAGGGGACGAAATCGGTTTCTCAACCATCCCCATATTAAGAAACACATTCAATTATGAAAGAAGAAGATATAGGACCTTATTTTCAATTTGAAATCATTGAACTTCCAGCAATGGACTACTATGAATAGAACCTCCGGCTGATAGTAGTCACAATCCCCAAGATGACCACCTGGAACTTTCGACTTCAAACCATAAAACTTCTTGGAACACTAATCATAATCATACTTGCTTCATACTTGGTTGTGTAATTAAGTATGCAGTTTTCACTTGAGCACGCTTTTAACCAGGATCTTCAGGCAACCAAGATGGCAATCTACCACATTATGTGTAGGAGGCAAAGCGAGATAAGTAGCCAACGACTAGTTCTAAGCATATTTAAAAATAGCATGTATCTATGACAGGACTAAAAACAAACAACTAAGTATTCATGATGACATGAATTAAGAACATATCCTAAGTAAAACAACTAAGAAGAAATATACCTTCTAAATTACTTAACATTAAGATATAAATATATTATAATATTTAATTAAATTTTATTATTAGTTATTACTAAAATAATACTTGCCACGAATAATGAAGCATGTATTAAATACAAATAAAATTATTTAGCAGGACATTTGCAAGTGAAAATGAAATTCATTGCTCGAACATCTATTTGGATTGAAGCATCCACATTTGCACACCCTATGCCTGAACTTCAATTCACGGAAATGTACACACCTTTGAAAATATGTCACACGAATAGCATTCCTCAATCCAACTTAGGCAGCCCAACTATCACGGGCATACTAGCTGCCTTGTTTCCTAGGTGACCATTTAAACACCATGATATTTAATTCAAAGAAAATTAGGGACCCAGGAATGCTAAAAAAGAAGCGGTCCACATGATGGAAGAGTTGACTGAAATATGCTTGCTTATCTCCGCACTTCATCCTAAAGAAGGGGAATGAAAGGTGGGTCCCCTTCCCACCTCCAGAAACTAAAACTCATATTGCCACTAAGACAAACACAAATTTTACGGCTCAATAAGACATGAACCACAAGGCAACTGATGAACTTCCTCCATCATAGCTGTTCTGAAGTATTGACTGGCCAATAAATTTTAAGCCTCTAATAATTAATATCTCCCGAAAAATATACACCAGATATTCAAAAAAACATGTAAGTCTTTTACTGGAAAAATGAATGCACGGTTTTGTATCTTTGTTCGTGTTATTCTAAACTTTACTGATTGAAGATTCTATCTGTTCAAGCACTTAAAATTCCTAAACAATCATACCTATCATGACCTAGTGAGATCAAACTATATTACTTCAATACTATTAATTCAATACAAGAGTTTAAAGTTCCTAGAGTCAATGCAGCATACCTCTCTATTGTCTTCTTATGCAGTTTCTTGTTTTCTACACTTATATCTGATGTCTGTGGTTGAACATCTTTGAATGAATTGGTTGCCAGTGAATTGTACATAAAAGAAGATAATAACGGATCTGGAGCTGTGTTGGAAGCCGATGCTGTATAGGAAGAACCTCCGAGAAGAGATGGTAAATGCCCTTCCCGTAATTCCTTCTTCAATAAAGAAAGTGTAGAATGGGGCATTGGGGATCCTTTGTGGAACCTCCTTCTATGGTGCATGTGAGAAATCGTCAAGGATAAGAAAGTAAGTATTATTGACAAGTTAAATAGTTGATTTAGACGGAATAAACATATGTTCATGTTTATATTGAATGCTACACATGTGGGTTTATGAAAACTCTAAATATTAGACACCAATGTGAACTTCTAACGCCCATATTTCTTAACAGATGGAAATGATATCTTAATTCGAGTGAAAGCATAAACGGGAGAAGGAAAGGAAGGATATCTTCAATAAATGCCCATGCATCATTGTTATATGCCCCACGTAGTCCAGAATGTCCATTCCGACTCTTACTTCACAAATAGGGCATACCTGTAGCAAGAACAAGTAGGCAAAGCAAATGAGTTTCTATTCACAACAATCTAGCAAAATAAAAAAACAGGGGACCTACACATCCACATTATTCTTTCTTTTTAAGAGACCAACATGTAAACTTTCACCGTTAAGGCCAAAAATGAGATAACTAAACCCTCCGAAGGCCCCCATTTAAGCAGAAAAAACTTCCGTAAAATGAATAAGAAAATAACAACGTGGGAAAAATTGGGATATGATCATAAAGCAAAGCAAGAGAGGCCACAAAAGCCATTTGGGCCACTTAAGAAGCAAAAGTTGAGATGAAAACCAGAGAAGTGACAGAGTAAAAAGTGATAGAATTCGGGACCAACAGTTGAATAAGGAACCCTACTTTTATCGACTAGAAAACTAACCAAAATTCAGAGTGACACAGTAAAAAATACGAATCGTTGTTCGCAAAAAACACATTTCGTTGTCTTCCGTGATGTTAATTCCAAAAAACACAAAAAAACATCTTTTTCGTTGGCAATCACAAGTAAGCAATCGTCCCAAGTTGTTCGCAAACAAAATAGGGGATGGGGAGAAATACCCCATTCTTGGCCTCAACGGTATGCTCTTCGGTGATGTGATGGCAGAGTCCCGCCATGTCGAAGTCCTCTGAGCAGTAAGGGCATGGGAATTCCGTCCGGGAATCGTCCTCCCCGATCTCAACATCCTCGAACCCCATAAACGCATCTGAACCATACGAATCGAAGCGCGAATAAGACGCCACAATCCGATTCCCACGATTACACGACGGTCGGCACAACTCCAAACCAAGAAATAAACGAAAGCCACAACAAGACGGGCCGCTTGCGCGAAATTACTCACCAAATCGGGACTGGAGAGCGTTCTGGTGTCTCCTCGACGAGCCGGCGGGACGATTCCACGACTCGGCATCCATGGATTCCTCTTTTGGAAACCCTAAAAAGCCAACTCCCTGCCCCTGCTGCAGCGGATGTAAGAACGTCCAGAGATGAACTCTCGGAGACGACGAAAGGGGAAGAAAGTAGACCACTCTTTTTTGCTGTTTCGAGCCAAATTACACGGCGAGACCTTTGCGAAGAACGCGCGCGCGCGAGAAATATAGAGTGAGAGAGAGAGAGAGAGCCGCCCTACGGAGGTGAAAAGGCGGTGTGTATGGCGTGGGGACTTTTAGACCGTTTGATTAGTGATCTTTGATCCTTCCTTTGGACGGGACGAAGCAAGAGATGAGACACGTACATAATGCGGAGTACAGTCACCCCCTGCCCCCACTGCACCAAGTGGTCCGTCGTGATGTGAATGGTCCGGCATGCCCGTGGAATTCCAAGTGAGGAGGACCAACCAGTATTGTCACCACCGCACTACGACGAAAGTTCTCTCTCTCTCTCTCTCTCCCTCCCTCCCTCTCTCTCTCCCTCCCTCTCTCCCTCTCTCCCTCTCCTCTCTCTCTCTCTCTCTCTCTCTCTCTCTCTCTCTCTCTCTCTCTCTCTCTCTCTCTCTCTCTCTCTATCTCTCTCTCTCTCTCTCTATCTCTCTCTCCCTCCTTCTCTTCTCGTGCTCACAATCACGCACTGTTCAAAGGGTGGTTCCATTCTTCTTCTGACATTAGTTCATCTATACTTTCATACGAAGACATATTGTCATAACAGTCGGAATCATACGATGTCTAAATAAATCATAAACCGATATCATCGATTATAGCTGGAATCGTATGGAACTTGAAACTTGATTTCCACCAGACAATCTATGAAGGGCCCGACTAAGGCTCTGGATAGCCCATCGATAGATCTGATGATGGGTGGGTAAGTAGCGTTGACTAAACAGTGTTGGGTGGTGCAGTTGATGAGCCTCAAAGTGGTAGGCATACTTTGAAGCGGGGGGGAAGGGTTTAGAAAGGTGACAATCTTTTGGGCTAAAAATTGGGACTGGAAGAAGTGTGGGGTCTAAAAAAATACCCAACCTGAATTCATGTATGTAGAGGGAGAACCACCAACAACCAAAAATGCATGCTATATGCATCAAACGCCAAGCATGCAATGGACAAAGTGCATGAATACAAATAATTTGTTTATAAAAATTGTTGCCAATGAGAATATAAGATTTATGTGGAAAGACCCTCATGGGAAGGAGGGGTGAAAAACGAAAACTAAAGGGCAACACAATCTCAGTTATATATATGTATATATATATATATATATATATATATATATATATACATATATATAGCTAATGTAGAGTTTTTGTTGTTGAAATTATGCTCAAAATCTTGAAAAATAATGATACAAAGGGGAAGAGTATTGAGTTTACTTTGCATGATGATGCCTCTAAACTCTCAGCAAAGCAAGAGTCTTCCAAATCTTAGAGAACAATATAATGAAACCCTAGAGAAAACCTTCATCTTCCTACTGTTTCATATGCCTCTTCTTACTGATCCCCATTCTCCTCAAAATTTTTCTTTCTTTTTTTTATATCAAAATGATTTTAATTATTGTGATTCTTCTTTAGCCTAATTATATCACCAATATCAACCAGGTGTCGGCCCAAAGATGATGATCTTTAGGACTACACGAGAGCCGAAGAGGGCGCCATGGTTACTACTTGATTTGAAGAGCTGGGCATGGAACTATATTAAATGATCTAGTTGGGGTACAATCGACGATGGAGATCTAATAGAGAGTAGAATCCTTCGGCCAGATGGAAGTGAAGATGATAGAGAGACAGCAGATGGCGAAGGAACTGGCCCTGGAATCGGCATTGATGATGGAGGTGTGATAAATGGTAGATGATGGGGGTATGCTATATGATGGAAGAGCCAGGCCTGGAGTTTCCCCTCTCTCCTCTCTCTTCCTATCCCGAGTTCATCACCTGGTTCAGCATTCGGGCGGCCGTTAAGCATCTCTCTCTCTCTCTCTCTCTCTCTCTCTCCCCTTCACTTCGGGGCCGGCAACTTCCGGCGGTTCGGTGGACATTTCTTCTCTTCCAAGGTTAGAATAATATGAGACTGGCTTCCATACAGGATCTAGTTTATCTGATCACAATGTTTAATGCCTGTTTCCCAGCTGTGCTGGATATCCTCTACTACCAGGATTATTTTCTTTCTTTCTGTATCCTTGATTTATTCGTCCACGATTCGATGATCGGGGTATTGATAATAGACGGAAGTATTGTATGCCATTCTTGTCAAAATCTAACCCTTTATTGAATCCGAACCATCGCCTTTCTTGTTGGTAATCGGGGATCAGCGATCTTGGTCTATTGTCAAGCCTTAATCATTTCCTTTGGTGCAGATTATCGGGGTTTGGTGACCTCACGCATGGCCATCCAGGAGAGAGATAGAGGTTATTAAGGGGTTGCAAAACGAAATAGAGGACGATTTGAAGTATGAAAGCAGAGAATATACATGCCACGTAACGTAATTTGGATGATTCTATAAGTTTACTTTTGTTATTAAGAAAAATTTCCCTGTATATCTCCTTACTCGTATTTTACGTCGAAACATGATGTCATCAAATCACGGGCTTGCAGTTTACGTGTACGTCCAAAAAGCATGACCCACTGACGATATATGGGTGTCTAAGTGTGTTGGGTAGGCCTAAATTTTGGTGTGGCTCTTTTTTTTTTCTGGACTTGGGGTCATTTCTACTTGTCATGTGGGGTTCATTGTCCGACTCTCTCTCTCTCTCTTGATATACATTTATATATGTATATATATGTATATTTATATATATATATATATATATTAACTAGACTAGTTTTTTCTTACAAGTTTGAAAAATGACTACAATTAACGACCATAGACTTCACTTATGGCTGAACCGAGATCCATCTGAAAATACCGAAATAATGGACTTTAATAGAATCACTACACTGGTGGCTTAATTACGGACGGACCCCAACCGCGGCAATCTCTCGCTTCTTACTAGTTTTTGTTCTGCAACGAATTTCCCGAGAGATAACGCTGTTTTTAGTACATTTTCTGGTGTCATAAAGCTTTTCATACTCCTGAAGTTTTTGTGCTAGCCTTTTACCGCGGTTAAAAGGGTTTGAAGCGTTCATATGGCTCAAGTTAGGGGATTCTCGATGTCAGCCCTCCCATTTGAAACTGATTTTGTTTTGGCAAATATATCGGTAACTGCTTATATTAGGTGTCACCATGTTGAATCGTTTGGAATAACTTGATTTTTCCCCTATGTTCGATTCACAAGATTGCGGCTAATAACCATCAGAGTCAGATTTCAGGAAAATTTAACGTTAGTTTTTAATCATCTAGATAATAACTCATTTTATTACCATTTTAAAGAAGTTTGAGGACACAACGGACACCAATGATTCTCATGATCGTACACAAACACAAAGTGGTCATCTGCACCAGAGTGGATCCCTCAAGCAGACGGTATTGCGGTAGAATATCGAGTAGGGAGGATTATTCAAGATCCGTGATGAAGTTATGACGCCAGCACCATGTACATCCATGAGCCGACGGCCCAAAGGCCAAGAACCCGAATGTGAGGGGTCAGAAGGTTTCCTCCATGACTGCTTGATGGAGGAGTCGGCGTCGGAACTGGAGCTGCAGTACCTGGGATATTCAAGTTCCCTAGAAACAGAAAAAAATATGGTGAGGTAACCAAGAACAAGAATGTGAATTCCGAGAAGGCTGCCTCCATGGCTTGCTTGTTTAAGATCTGGCTCAGGAGCTGGTGAAATGGTCGGCGGACTTGCTGGTGGAGTTGCATTACCTGTGATATTGAAGTTTCCTAGAAAAACAGGAAATATTATTACATTCCGCCTTGATAGGAGTATATATATATATGTATATACATTGATATGCATGTGTGCATCTTTGAATCGATTCTGAAACGATGGTACGGTTGTGGACGAGGGTCATTGGAAGGGATTCTAAAATGTCCTCAGCCCGAGTACTGGAGTGCGAATTAGAGAAGTTGAACGAATCATGAGCTCTTATTTCACATTCATTCTCAATAATGCCTGATACACTACCCATTTATAGTTATTTGGGTCTATATTTGGGTCTCCGTGCTTTTTTCAATGCTTTTTCAGGTCCGGGATCTAAGAAAAAGTTATTTATTGGACTAATATGTTACTTCATTATACCTGCCTGAGTAACCTGTCCGAAGGTATTTCTCTAATTACCTCTTCCAATGCCGCTTCCACAAGCAATGAGGATCGTAGCGTTGACAGCCCTTATCGTCGCTCCATTGTAGAACTTGAAGTTCGACAGTATCCCGTCGACGCAGCTAAGAACGAGCTGAGTTTCGGCCAAACAGGGCCCGCTGCAGAAGGCGTCGACGGCGTTTCCAGACACATTCAGCGTCCCGTTCGCCGTCAACCTATACTGCTCCTGGCAGTTCCTGTAGATCTGTTTAAACCCTTCGGACCGTCAGATCGTGATAAAAGGTACCACAGAAAGAGAGAGAGAGAGGGAGAGAGAGAGAGGGAGAGAGAGAGGGAGAGAGAGAGAGAGAGAGAGAGAGAGAGAGAGAGAGAGAGAGAGAGAGAGAGAGAGAGAGAGAGAGAGGAGTAATCGGCTTACGGATGTGTTGTTGAAGCAGAGAATGGCGTTGTCTACGATTGAGGATGGGTTCTGTGCTGCAGGTTGAGAGTGAAGGATTGATAGTTTTCCCTAGAAGAAGCTTTACAGAGAGAACCACGGAGAAAGAGGATGGTGAGGATGATGCACCAACCTTCACAGCAGGAGGGAGAAAATACGGCGACGAGCAGGAGGGCGAAGCCGAAGCGCGCGAGGGTGACTGAGGGAGCCATCTCAGACGGCCTTTTCCCACCGCCGAACTATTGCTCCTTAGTAGGCAGCAATCTCGTCTGTCGCATATTTATACACTCCCAAGGAAGAAGGCCACAATTGATAGGATACCTTTTCCTGTGGACAAGTACAACTTTACTCCAACTCATACGGCAACATCGACTCTCTCTCTCTCTCTCTCTCTCTCTTTCCGGGTTCATCACCTGGTATCACTTGGTAGCACCTGGTTCATCGTTCCACTGTAGCCGCTGAGCGACCGTCTCTTCCTCCCGTTTCTCCGGCGTATACGCCCCCTCCATCCTGGACTGGTGGGGGTGGGGAAGCTGGACAGAGCAGACGTGAGGAAAAGAGGAAGGAACAAGGTCAAGGGGTTAGCCTGCAGGCCGACAGGTCGTCTCGAGTCTGGTACTTCCAGGCGAGAGATTTCTGGTACTTCCTCCGCGTAAACTTACGAAAGCTTTGAGAGAAAAATTAACCTAAAAATTTGCGTGAGAGAATACCACGCGTGGGATTGAGAGGCTGTACGCCACGTGCCCATCGAGGCGTTGAAAATCGCCACTTGAATGGCGGCTTAGTGGGGGGAAGTAGGTAACGGCTGATTTGGTGATGGAAAAGGCATTTACACGAACCATATCTTACAAATTTGACATTTGGAGTAATGTATCTCGGTATTAATCTAAATGTGGAACTCCCATCAGGATATTATCTGACCTCCATTTTGAGCGCATCGTTTGAATGATCACAATTTACTTAGTCTTCCCACCTGTTCAAGAACACGCGGTTGAGAAATCGCCCGAATGATTGGGATGTGCTCCACAATCAATAAGTTAATCAATTACAAATCAAGTGGATTAACACTGGTCACTAACCACCAGTTATGAATATAAGGAAAGAATAGTATTTAGAGATAACCTTGTCACCAGAAGAGGTGACGGTGAAGGAGGAACACAAACTGAAGCTTAGACCAACTTTTGAATAGTTGACCTATGTTGACCTTGACCAAGTCGTTGACCATTGACAGTACCATTGACTGTTGACCGGACATTCTGGTTGACTGGCGGACGGGCTCAAACCAGATTGGTTCGGTCCAGTGGTTTGAGTACCATGAACGGGGGTTTTATGCCCTAATAAGTGGGCGTAAAAAGGGGGACAGGGGAACACGAACGGATCGTGCCGGACGAAGGAACGGAAGGCGACGGTAACGGCCGAAAAGGTCGAATGGACGAAGACGGAGGCGGGGCTGGTGGCAGCGGATGTCGGCGACAGAGGTAGGGAGAGCGGCAGCGACGGCGAATGGGGCAGC